AAGGGAGAGTGCTGTTTTGACTTTGGGCCTTATGTCTTCAGGCTGTCTGCTTGCTTTAAGGTCCAGGAGATGCAGAGGTTCCTGAGGGTAGCACTGCAGCCACCACTGCCACCAAAGAGAGGAGGGAAGGTATTAAAACAAGATGGGGGGAGGAAATAAAGTTCCAGGGAAGAATTTATCTCCTCCATTCAGCAACTGATGTGTTGGCTTCACACACCTTCCTAGCAGAAAGTCACAATAAGCTCAATGGCTCATACTCTGCATAATTGGCATCTGACTGTCTTGAGACACAATGGAGTGTGCTTCCAGGGGTGAAGTCAAACAGCTGTGTTAGCAGCACCAAAGCGACCTTGCCAGCGCGCAAGCCTGGGCAGTGTGTCTTGGGCTGCCCAGACAACAGGACCCCTCTCTCGGCCTCACTGATGCAGTCCAAAGGTGTTGGGTTGAAATAAACGACAGACGAATGACAAGTGTCATATGGGAGGCATCTGCCGAGCATGTCTCGGGGAGTCCCTTTTATTGAATATTACAACATTGCCACATATGTGCTTGTTGCTGATTGGTTAACACAAATACAATGCAAGGGTTGCATATAGGCATTAATCATCAATAGATTAAAGGTTGGGAAAGGGAACACATAGTTGGACAGGTATGAAAACCTCCTTATTAAACTATTACTAGTGATTGATATTGCAAAACTTAAAAGAGCATAACAATCGCATTCCGTAGATGTGGTCAACCATGCATTAAGAACAGGTCAGGGTACGATGTTTCATGAACTCAGTGTGAACTAAACATTCTAGGTTGGGTGAGGAAGGAATGCTTCAGCTTAGAGCGGTTTGCCAGACTCATGTGCAGAAGCAGAACTTCCCGTCAAAAGGAAAGCAGAGCAATACATTTGGCAACAGGTTGGTGGCAGGAGTTGCCGGAAGGAGGTGTACAAGATGCCATCCAACGGTCGTAGGGACTGCACTCCAGATTTGTGTAGGATTTGCTCCTTAGCTTTTTCTTCTCCCAGAGATACCTCACAAGGCAGCGGAGGGTCCTGCATAGACATGTACAGGATTGCACTGTGTGTGTTGCAGCTACCACCTTCACTGTGCTTTGTAGAGAGCTCTTCTGGGCCAGCTGGAGAACTGGTGTGCATTGCTGTGTGCAACGAATCAGATCTTCATCCAGTGACTTGTACAACAGTAATTTCGTTCTGGGTGGTGGCAGGAAAGACAGACGACCTGCTTTTTGGAACTGGGAACAGAGAAGAAGTGACAATGTCCCTCCAGAATTTCTCATCAACGGAGAGATTTGCTAGTAATTGGGGTGCAAGTAAAAGCATGTATGTTTCAATGTGTTTAAAATCTAATTCATGGTTGAGGATATTATTGGATGCTGTGAACTAACCATCTGTTGTCAGGGTCATATTTTTATATTTTGCATTATTTTAATACATCTAATTGGTCTGGGGAAACCCAGCCAGATGGGTGGGGTATAAATAATAAATTTATTTATTTATTATTATTATTTAATGGTATGTTTCTTAGCTATCACAAGAATTCAGTAGATTCAGTAAATAAGTTTAGAAGCACTGTGGTAGATTACAGAATCATCCTTGCAACTCTGGAAAAATAAATTTACTTTGGAAAAATGATAATATAAGACACTTTTCTCCCTTTTTCTAGATGGTGAAAAGGCTGTATTGAAAAACCACCTTGATCAAAACCCGCAAGCCCAGTGGAATACGACAGAGCCCTCCAGAACGAGCAAAGACTTTACAGAAGATATCAACTCCCCAGAACAGTAAGTAGCATGGTTCTTTCTTGTTACATGGTCACAAGAACTGAGGTTGCTTCCTCAGTCCTTAGCAATTTTTGTTAAATCTGTGCATCGCTTACTTACAAAATTATGTCTCAAAGGATCCTTTGAGATACAAGCTAACAGTTGTCGCTGTGCCCTTGGTCTTTCTGAGTAAAATGTTAATCATTCGAACACATACATATTTATGGCAAGATTTAGTAAAACAAAATCTTTCGTAATTTGAGGGCCTTGTTAACGGTGCCCCCAGCCAACTCTGGAGACCTGAAATGCTGGTTTTCAAGCATGGTGACATTTCTGTGTTCTGTTATGTACAAAATACTGCCTCAGCATTAATGCTGGGCTTAGGTGGCTAGCAAGCAAGTATTTAGCTTTACGAATGAGCAAAGAAAGAGAAAACCAAAGCCTCACAGTGGTTTGTTAAGAAAAAAGCGGTGTTATAACTTGGGTGTATTGCTTTTGCTCGTTCCATGGGCTATTTTGTCAGGCCGCCCACTGGATTTATTTGTGGCTGTAAGGCATCTCACAAACTAGGGACACTTTTGTCAATAGCCTGCTAGCAAAGCCCTCGCTCCATTTCCTTCCTGTTCATCTTTCTCCTTTCTGCCTTTGCAGCATACAGCGTCGACTCTCCTTACAACTGCCCATTCTCCATCATGCCTATTTGCCATCAATAGGAGGGGTCGATGCCAGCTGTGCCAGTCCGTGCGTCAGCCCCAGCGCCAGTCCAAGGCACCGGCACGTGCCGCCATCTTTCCGTGTGATGGTCTCTGGCCTGTAGGAGGACCAGAGCTCCGTGAACTTGCTTTTGGTACTCAATGGCTGGACCGAACGTCTTGTGTGAAACTCTTGCCTTCTACATACTCTCTTACTCTTAGCACAGAGGAACTAGTTTTACGAGGCCATTGTCAAGGGAAGACCAGCTCCACTGCTGTGGGAAAGCATGTGAAGTGGAGAGGGTCACCCGGAGGTTTGATCTGTAGTCTTACTTGTGGACGTTTTTATTTCTTCGTGAGGAAAGTCACCAAACCCATGTTTCTTCCCAGATTTCTACAGAGGCCAGGGTGGCTGGGAAACATAGACTCGACAAAGAACAAAGACAAAAGAACCCCGCTCAAGTGTCACTAAACTTTATACGGCTACTGAAAAATGTGGAGCCACATGCAAAAAGAAAAGTTAATTGCATCAACTGAGAGTTATATTAACTGAAATGGAAACACTTTTGTTTTGCAGGGATTTCATTCAGGTGCTGGAGGCACCGGCTAGTTGGGCCGACATTCATTTCTGGGACTACGTTCAGTGGGGAGGAGGAGACACTTTGAAACGGTTCTTCGGGTGTCATTGAGACTTTCACTTAGCTCAGCTCCACACATCTCAAGATACGCTTGGGATGGAGAATGCTTCAAGGGGGAAGCAGGTCCAGGGCTAGGATCTCAGAAAGGCTACCAGGTAGGGAAAACAAGATGCTATTTGCAGCCATTCCTCCCTCCTGATGAGACGCAGGGTTCCAGAGGTGGCCATCTGCAAACATACTGAAAACTAGGTCCAACAGCACAAGGCTGAGATTGGCTACGGAAGTCTTAATGTCACAGGATGGCTTGTCCCCCTCCCCAGAGTTTGCTTGATTTAAACCACAACATAATTACAGTACAGTTAATTTAGCAAGGCGGGGTGGGGGGTGGGATGTTTAGGCACCACTTTGCTGCTGCTGCTGAATTTTGCAGAGGCACAGATAGTATATACACAACCTTTGCTTCATATCTGCGTGTGTGACAGTGGTAGTTGAGAATAAGACAGTCTGAACCAAGTTCGCCTATATGGGGGTGGGGGTGGGGAATCCCCCTTGTCCTTTGAATTAGAAAACTAAAGGCAAGAAGTGAATAAGTTTTTTGTAGAAGACATTTTTTATTTTTTAAAAAATGGTCGTCTCCCCCCGAGAAATCATGATTCAATCTACTCCCTCCCTAAAAGAGCAGCTGAATTCTTATCAGAGTGCAACAGCAGGAAGCTCAAATGAAATGTTTGAGTGATTCCATCACTAACTGATAGAGGTCTGATACAAGCATGTGCTGCCTGTCTGCTAGTGGTTCTGTGCAAGCCTGCAGTGATTAAGATTGTGCATGTGTGATCCAAAGATCTTTTCCACAATTACCTGAAACAGAGAATTTCAGTGGGATCCTTGCTGTGGGCACAGCACTCGCATTATTGAAGATACTGCATTCTCTGATGTTCTTATCGCTTATGTAGTTATAGGGCACTTTCCACATAACCCCAAGCACGGTGGATTCTGCACTGGACCGGCATGGAAGCGAGGCCTAATCTTCCCCATTGCCTTACTGCGTATAGGACGCTCGGAGCAAGCTAAGGCGCCTGCATTTCCATGCACCGACAAGTGTGCTTTTCAGCTGCTGGTACTCAACCCACCAAACACACTGTGAAGTACCACCAGTTGAAAAGCACTGCTCTGTGAAAAGGCCTCACCCACACAATCTTTAGATTGAGTGAGCCGGGCCTATTCATGAAGAAATGTGCTTATGTAAAGCTCTCGTTCCTTCCCATGGCAAGCTGTGAGCAGGATATGCAAATCATGTGAATGGCGCAGAAGCAACATTCAGAGTGTGGCTGAGCGCTGGAGACAGACACAAAAAAATCCCCAAGTGTTGTACGCTCCATTGTCTCTGTTCATTATTATCTTTTAAGGTGGGGTAGTGCTTCGAAACTCTGCAACACCCGTGTGCCCAGAGATAACAGCATGATGAGAGAGAGACGAAATTACTGCCACCTTCACTTTTTTTCCAACCGTGTTGGCTGTCTCCAGCCTTGGCCACTCCAACTGGATGGCAATTTGGCACGCAACATTGGTGATACTGGCCAGCTGCCATTTCTAAATCTTGTATTAATTAAGCTAGCACAATAGGGCAGTGTGGAGAGGGAAGGGTGTGTGTGTGTGTGTGTGTGTGTCCTTTTGTTACTGCACTGTCTTCTCTCATGCCATAGGAATGAATTTTTTTCCCACCAGTGTTCCCAGGATATAGCGTTTTAGTATCTGCATGAGAGAGGAGATAATATCAACCGAGTCACTGCGGATGACCCTGCTCCCTCCTTCCTGATTATATTACCTTTGAAACACATGACGCTTAATCCACTGGGGGCATCACAGAATCTCTCCCTGCACACGTATCGTTGAGAGGTCATGGAGGCACCTGGAAGTGTTAGGACAACAGTGAGTAAGTCTACCGCACAGGGAGTAGGGCACATCACTCGGTTTGAGCACTAACCACTGAAGGTGTCGTCTGGTGTGAGTGTGTGAGTGTGTATGTATGTGTGTTGCCAGTATTCTCTTAATTTATTAATAAACTTCATCAGGACTTTATTTAATACAAATAAATATTACTTTTCAAAAAAGAACAATAATACTGTATATAATGTATACACAAACATTTCTGTAGAAAATATTATTCCAACATAGCAGGAAACAAATCAAAAAAAAAATTCCAAAAAGTATTGGACTGTTGGCGGTGAGTGTGTGTCTGTAACTCTTTGTGAATACTGACCGTGTGCTGTTTCTTAGGTTTAAATCATGCAGTACATTCTTTGTCTCCAATGCAACTGTAGTTTCTCCCACAACATTTTTTTTTTAAATTTCCTGCAGAAAATAAGGCCCACAAAAGTGACTATAGCTATTTAATGTTTCTGTTTTTTTTATACTGCAGCAAAAATGTACTGTAAAAATTTATGACGAGCTATGCCCCAATGGCATTTTCCAACAATGATAGTGCACAAAATGCTTTAATCTAGACTGGAACTGTCAAAAATTATTTTAAAAAAAGAGAGAATACATGGAGAATTTCTTGTATACCCCTTATACTGCATGAAAACCAATTTTTAATAAATTGTTGCAAAAATCTGTTTTATTAATAAAATAGAGAAAACCTAATTACTACTTAGTGGTTCTCTTTCTTACAGATAACCCTTGTAAAATTGCAGGTACACACTGCTAGGATGGAAAAAAGCTCACTCAGGCCCCATTTGGTGAGATAGGGAGCAATGGATCTCTTTCTGTATTGCAGGCAAAGGCCTAGCTAGAGAGAAGTGGGAGATGCCTCCTAGTCCAGAGCCCTGGCCAAGCCTTTAGTCTAAGAAAAGACACTGTCTTCCAGTAGACTCTGTCCTAGACCACTCACGAGCAACAAGGAGAAAAGTTGTTGTGTACTGTGCCTGCATCATCATCTATACTGCAGCACAAAGTCCTGCAGAGCATTCAGTCAAGGGAGCAGACCTTTTCTTCTTCCCATAACTGCCTACATATGTGACCCTGTGGCTGTTCACTGGACTACAACTCCCATCATCCCTTGCCACTGGCCATGTTAGCTACAGGGCTGATGGAAGCTGGAGTCCAGCACTATCTGGAGAGCTACAAGTTCCCCACCCCTAGCCTAGAAGCTACCGTATTTTTCGCTCTATAAGACGCAACAGACCACAAGGCGCACATAGTTTTTGGAGGAGGAAAACAAGAAAAAAAATATTCTGAATCTCAGAAGCCAGAACAGCAAGAGGGATCGCTGCGCAGTGAAAGCAGCAATCCCTCTTGCTGTTCTGGCTTCTGGGATAGCTGCACAGAGCGCATTCACTCCATAAGACACACACACACTTCCCCTTACTTTTTAGGAGGGAAAAAGTGAGTCTTATAGAGCAAAAAATTCGGTACTTTTTAGGATGATATCATGTACCATGGAGGTCCTTACCATTCCCAGGGTGAGATTGGTTGGATACAGTGTGGAAGTGACTCTCCCGTATGCCGCCATGGTTCTGATCTCAACAGTCTGGTAATAGCGAGGGGACCTGCACAGAAAGACGGAATTAACAGTGAATGTGGCCTTTGTGTATTTTAACGTATTATTTTTAGAATCATCTTGTTTCAAAGAGGGTACAAGTGTATTACATGGCAAATTGTACTCATTTCTGAACAGGGGTTTTGTTTTTTGAAAAATAGTGCATATGAGCCTGTGCTGTGTGTGACTTGTAGCAACTCTAAAGCTCCCTGTCAAGTAGAAGGGTTATAAATCCCAATACACCAGAAAGGGAAAATGGGCCACCCCAAGGCCCATAAAAAAACTATAATTTGTCTACATTTGTTAAATCGATCAGCATCAGCCACTTTTATGATGCTGTTTTCCATAAGGGAAGAGGTACTGTGGACCACAACTTCCTTTTAGGCTAATAGATACATCATGGGATCTAAATAAGTTGTGTATTGCCTTTAATGATTTTATAGCAGCCTTCGTTCTTAAAGACAGACAACGTTTATGGGACAAACTGCAGCAAACCAATATTAATGAAATGTTACAGGTGTTAATAAGTATTTTGCATTGCAATGCAAATTGCTTGCTCAGATTTGTCCCCGTCTACTTAATTGAATAGGCTTATACTTCCATGAGGGAAGAAACAACTATGGCAAAGATATTGCTCTCCATATATGTAGGAACTGAGATGCACTGTGTTAAATTATTTGAAGCATTGCCCAAGCCGAAGGTAGATGACACTGATGCTCCCAAACAGCAACAGAGTTATCAGAGATCTGCTTGCAAAGTTGGCAGCAGTGATCCCTACAAACAACTTGATGGGAGTTGTCATAACCACATTGCAAGACATGGATATTCTCGGTTCTCCCATATCAGAGTTAGAAAATGTCTTCACTTTTGAAACATGTTTATTATGCCTTTCAGAAAAGTTGACAATAGCTGCATAGGAATTACAGTGGTACCTTGGGTTAAGAACTTAATTCATTCTGGAGGTCCGTTCTTAACCTGAAACTGTTCTTAACCTGAGGTACCACTTTAGCTAATGGGGCCTTCCGCCGCCATGTGATTTCTGTTCTCATCCTGAAGCAAAGTTCTTAACCTAAGGTACTATTTCTGGGTTAGCAGAGTCTGTAACCTGAAGCTTCTGTAACCCGAGGTACCACTGTGCTCTGCAAAGTGGATGATAGCTCCCTATAAACTGTCCAATAACACAGCGTCCCATTTCTTGAGCTGCAATCCAATACCTAGTTAACTGGAAATAAGCCCCCTTGAACTCAATGGGACTAACGTCCGAGCAGACAGCACACACTGATTAAAAAAATATACTCAGGTTCCCAGTTGTTTTCCTAATGCGAGATGATATGAAGTTGCATTTCAACGTATGTTGCCCTGGTTTTTCAGACATTAGTCATGACCTCAGTGGAAGTTTAAAAAAATCAATGCTGCTTTCAAAACAACTCCCTGCATGTTACTTCAGCACTCCTTCCCATTCACAAATGGATTTTCACTGTTCCTTCACAGGCGTGTTTTTCTTTTTTTTAAGTGGCTACTTCCCATGAGAAACTCTGGCCTCAGCTACCAGGCCATTGCTTTTGAAACCGGTAAGACATCAGAAGTGCCCGGCTGGATCAAACCTAAGGCTTACCTAGTCTGATATCCTGTTTCCCAAAGTGACTAGCCAAATACCCATGAGCAATAGCCCTTTCCAGCTGCCATTTTTCAGCAATTAATGGCGTGCCTCCAATCTTGGATAACAGACACAGAAAGCATTATCCTCCATTAATTTTGAAGGGGTCTACATTGGTGGCCATAACTATTATTCATGCTTAGGAATTATTTCCAGAGGAAGAATGTAGCAGCTCCTACAAAAACAAAGGTTCTTATCGTCTGGGGGAACGGCAGGCTCAGTTTTTGCTGGGATGACAGAAAATATTTTCCAGAGGGAGTGAAGACTAATGTGAGCATTGATTTCTTGATGAGGAAGTCAAGCCAACCCGTTAAAAAAGATGTAACCTTAAATTATATATATGTAACATTAAAAATGCTCATGTGCCAGGACACATTTACAATGGAAGGTACTCACCCATTTTCTTGGCCTGAAGTGCCATTTTGTTCTGGTTCCATACACTGAATTGACTCTTGCCCAACTTGCAAAGGAGGTCTGGCCATTCTTCTCCACATCTTCAGTGCTTGCTTCTGATTTCATCCAGAGATAGGAATCCAAGCACTCCTCACTTCAATGCCTTACAATACCTGTCAGCATAGGCTTCAAAATAACCACTTGCTTGGCCGCATATCCCGGTGACTGGGTGTATTTTACTGGAAAAACTTAACAAGTATTAAAATTGCTTCCACCTCTAACCTCGGCAGACTGTTCCTAACAAGATGCAAAGGTCTCGAAGGATCCTGGTTCATTTACACTGTGGCCTCAGAACCATGAACTGCCCCAGCTTCCTAAGGATGGATGACCTCATAGCTATGCATTTTCTGTGCCGTTTTGCTTTATAAACATGTGAATATATGATGACTGACACGGTGTCAGACCCATTATTTTATCAAGCCTGGTGCTGTTTAAATCTGACTGACAGAAATTCTTCAGGGTCTCGGGCAGAGGCAAGCTGGTGGTGGTTTACTTCTGAGCTCTCCACTTGAGACCCTTTAACTTAAGATACACAGGAGTGAATTGCTCTATTGCTGAGGTTTCAAATTTTTAAAAAAATAAATCATGTCAATTTCTTTTTACAGAAGCAATGTAGGAACGACTTTGTTAAGGAGATGTGTTGGTTAAATTTTCAGCAATGCATTAGAAGCTCTCCAAAGAGGCTTTAAGGTTTGCTTAAGCATAAAGGACAGAATGAGATATCAATCTCTGCTACAATTGCTATGCCACTGCTGCCAGCTTGATATCTGATCCACTTATAAGAAGGGTTTCTAAAATGACTGGGCTCACTTTCCTGGGGGAAAAGAAGATTGCACTGGTTTTAACAATTAGTCTGAGAGTTTTTTAGTTGGCCGTGTGTGATTTAGAGAAAAATTGACCCAGCACAGGCTATTTATGGAAAGACAACTAAAACCTTTCCCTCTCTGATTTCAGCACCACACAGGCAAGAGTCAACAAAAAGGCCAATGCCTTAATTTATTTTATCATAGGTAAGCTGCATTTTGCTTCCATGATGGAGCTTAAGGTGGTCTACATAAGGTGATCCCCCATCTGAACACTATCCATTAGATAGTGAAATGGTTGAAAATGAAGAAACTGTGCAGGTTACACTAACGGTAAAGGTACCCCTGACCATTAGGTCCAGTCGTGGACGACTCTGGGGTTGCGGCGCTCATCTCGCTCTATAGGCCGAGGGAACCGGCGTTTGTCCGAAGACAGCTTCTGGGTCATGTGGCCAGCATGACTAAACTGCTTCTGGGAAACCAGAGCAGCGCACAGAAACACCGTTCACCTTCCCGCTGGAGCAGTACCTATTTATCTACTTGCACTTTGACGTGCTTTCGAACTGCTAGGTGGGCAGGAGCTGGGACTGAGCACACTAGTCCTATTCATTTTCCTCACACGATTGTGCACCACCACACAAAGACTTTCAGTAGTTGAAAAAGTTACCCACTTTTAACAAAGAATCAGACAAATATTGCAAAATAATGAATACAGTAGTACCTCAGCTTACAAACACTTTGGGTTACAGATTCCACTAACCTGGAAGTAGTACCTTGGGTTAAGAACTTTACCTCAGGATGAGAACAGAAATTACACAGCGGTGGCAGCGGGAGGCCCCATTAGCTAAAGTGGTACCTCAGGTTAAGAACGGACCTCCGGAAGGAATTAAGTTCGTAACCAGAGGTACCACTGTACTATACTCTCAGAAAAAACTAAATTTAATGGAACTGGAATCACACAAGTTCCGTGGCACAATAAATCTGATCTCAAGCCGCCGCGTTTAACACGCATTATACGTAACAGAGAAGGAAAGTTACAAAGAATTTCAAAAGGTAATCTAAATCAGGGGCCCGGAACCTTTTTCATTCCGAGGGCCACATTCCATTCTGGGGGCCGCACGCCTGTGGAGGGCAGGGAGAAAGGCTGTTAAGTGGACAGAGCAATTAATGTGAATTTTACCTTTGTCCAATAGTCTAGTTGACAGGCATTCTCACACCCCTCTTTCTATCCTTAACCTAAGGAAACAAGAGGCATTATCAGAGTTCAGAGACACATTCCAGCTAGGCAAAAACAACCAAGGAAAGTGCAGAGCGGGACAAGCAGGGAATGTGGCTGGGAAGGGCCATGGGAGAGTACTAAGAGTCAAATAGTGAGGTGCAGAGGGCAAAACGCAGCCCCTGAGGCTGACATTTTCCGTCCCGACCAAAATGATTTAAAAACAAAAACCCTGCATTGGTTGAGGCTCAGGCACATTTAGAGACAAAACTTTGTTGAGGCCCAGGCTAGAACCACAAATGAAAATGATGTTGAACACAATGGGGGGTGGGGAATAGGCAATTTTAAACAGGAATGTAATTTCCGAGAAGGTAAAGAAGGGAGTCCGTTCTGCCCCAGCCACTTCTGTTCTAGGGAGATGGTTATCTCAAGGAAAACACTAGAGAAGGACAGCAATGTACTCGTGGAAAATAACCTTTTCGTGAGGGAAGGCCAATAGTAAACACATGTTTTTATACAAACCGCTTTAATAATTAAGCTCCAGGTAGACACATAGTTTTCAGAAAAAGAAGTGCTTTAAAAAAAAAAAAAGAAGTTCAGAAAACAGGTACTATTCACATATTTCATGAAGTGTGGTCGAAAGTAAATTGCTTAAAGACTGTCTCTGTTAATGCTGAATATCTTGACAGAATAGTCGGCCCCGCAGCTTGCCAGCTGCAGCCACCTGCTGCTCTCTGCTGTCCCTTGCCCAGAGCGGCCCACGCACTTTCTCCAACACAGCTGCTTGACAACAAGAGTGTGGCTTTGGCTGCAAAAAGACAGAAGCTATTAGGGGGGAAGGAAACCCAATTCATCTCTCGCAACCACAAAATGTCAAACTCAGCTGGACTTTGTCAATTCCAAACGTCAGCATTTAGCTAATTAGTGCACTCCTTTTCAGCGCTGCCAGCTCGGGGGGGGGGAAAAACCTAAACTTGTCACTGCCTGTAGATATTAAAGATGCTGGAGCTATTCTGAGTTCAAGTGGCATTTCTCCGCTTCATCCCATAAATTATTCAAACAGAAATACACCTATTTCCGCTGTAATTTCAGGTCAAACGTTGCCATTAGCCATGCAAGCTTCTTAACAAAAAGTTACAAAACACATCACTTAGAAAGTTTAAAGAGAAGCAAGTGTCAGAGAGTACAGCAGCTCAAGGGAAAAGTTGCCAAACCATGGGTTGATAGTCCCATGTGCTCACTCACTCCAGCCTTGTTTCACAAATTACCTTCTCCCCCTTTTAGGGTGTGGATCCCCCCCCCCAATTAATTTTCACTTCTAGTTTTCACTAATCACAGTTTACCATGACATCCACATTGGCAACCTGTCGTTAATGCCTTACTTCCAAACCAAAGTTTATAAACAAACCATGGGTTCATATTATGAGTTCTGGGCAACCAATAGGCTACCAATATGCTTATCTCAGCAAATTATATTATTAACAAAAATCAGGGCGGGATGATGTAATTGACCCATAAGTTTGTAGGGGCAATCCTAACCACTGAACTATGATTAGCCGCCGCATCGAAAGGCAAAATCCGGGTGCGCAAACAACTGCAATCAGAAGCAAGTGTGGAAAATGTTAATTGCCCAACTAATATTCACGTTTCCCAATGCTTTTTGAACTATAGACATGTTCTTCCGCAGAGTAAACAACTCAAATAAAAGCAAATATTAGCTCCAATTCAATCTCCTTCTGTTGGCACTAGAGCAGGTAAACTTGTTCAAGAATTAAGTAGCTACAGCTGACAATTTGCAACACTGAACTCTTAATAAATGTAAAGACTGGTGAAACAAACAAGACATACAGAAGTCAAGGTATGCCAACAGAACTGTGTAAAGTCTTATCTAGCTACTGTGCTGGCAATAGATGTCCCAGAGGGCTCTGGACTGTGTGAGAGATGTTATGTGGAGCCGGGCAAACCATCTGAAGGGCGAACAGATGCTGCTGGTACATTAGTAAGCCCTTTGGGCCAATCTAGATAAATGGAAAAGTTAATGGCATAGTGAGAGATTCAAACATTCATGGTCTCATGGGGCCTTAACAAGCCAGATCCCAAAAGGCACAGAACTTGAAATCAGCATGGATGTGCCTCCTCTATTCATTGTTCATGCAGTAGTGATACTATAATTCTTATTAAGTATTGCATTATTTTATTTTAAAAAATTATTGTCTGTGAATTGCTTTGAGCACAAATGTGGCAGAACATGTATTATAGAAATAAAACTGACTCCAACTATATATTCCTCCCTCCAAGCTTTTAAAAATTCACCCTATATGCATTTCTAAATGTCCCATTGAGGTCTTTAAAGTTCAGCTTGCACACGCAAGCACATCAAGTTATTTGCATCTGATTTGGAAAGGCTTAACCCAGTATGCATATAGCTGCAAACAATTGTAGTAACTGATTCCAGAGCTAAACTGAGTTTGGTTCCATCTTTTATCTGAGGCTTAGTTGTATCTGAATTGAAATTCAGGTTGCTAGTTCCAAATATGGGTATAATTTTTTAAAAGGTGTGATATGGGGATACATGCACAACAAGAATGGCAACTGAATTCTATATATGGGCTAAAGCTTCTAATATAAGAGCTACAGTAAGAGACTGGGGCTACAAATCAGGGAGTCCTTGGTTCACAGCTACTAGCCTCCTACCACTCAAACTGTAATATTGTCAGAAAGATGACCCATTTTACAAGGTTACTGAAAGGATTACAACCAGATAATGTAATGTGCAGTGCTCTGAAAGTACTATATAAAGGCCAAGTATTGCTAACACTCTGCCCTCTTCCAGGGCTGAGAAACGAAATAGGCAGAACAGAGGACATTTGCTGCTATAATTCTGCAACCGCCCTTGATGATAACAGTGCAGTGAAAGAAGGAGGGAAGGATATTTTTTTCATGCACTACACAGAAGAATTCCACCTGTGCTGTACTGTCTTCCCTCTCACTACAGGAAAATGAACCGAGTGCAAGGATGTACAGGGGAAGCTGATCTCTGGGATCAGCTATGAGTCGAAAAGCATGGACTGGGAATTGCATATGTAACACAGTGAGCAAGACCATTGTGATAGTGTATGGTCAGCGTATGGCCTGAATCTAAGCAGCTCTGGTTCTGGCCACAGGGCTTGAGGGATGGCTGCCTGGGAACTGCAGTGAAAGGCAGAATGTATTGATAATAATGATAAAAATATCGCAGAGACCTTTAGCCTTATCACACAGAGAATTCAGTATTATATGACATTCATCTGAAGCTGCTAACAAACCTTTACTGAGCTGAACCAGAATCAAATCAGAACAAGTTTAGGAACAACAGAAATGGTTTGACTCATTTACTGGCACTCCCCAGAGCAACAGGGTCTGGAAGAGCTCTTGTGCAACACTTTCTGAAATTAAGCAGTTCTTGAAAAAGAAGCAGAGAAAGGACCACAGCAACCATACACTGACACAAGCATCCACAACATTTTCACCTTGCTCCTGCATCCCCTCCAGTGCACATCTTGCTGCTACGATATCATGGCTCACCACAATTAAAATTCAGCTACTGGCTGGGGGCAAATCTGAAGCAGAGAATTCCCAGCTCACATTTCTAGCAGCTATGCTGCAACAGCTCTATAAATAAGGGTTTCTACAAATGCAGGTCCCTTAAGGCATCATTATAACAGGTGCCAAAGGGGCCTCACAGAACCAATGCAAGAACCCTCACACAGCCAAATGCTAAGGCATCTGTGAAATAGTGGCTTTCTGTATACTTGCTTTGAGACCACAAGAGGTTTGGGATAGGGTTACCTGTTGTCTGTTTCAGCACATTTGGTCCAGTCCGAAAGAGGCAGCCTCTTGTCGCTTGGTTTCCATTTATACAAGTGAATCTTCCCACTTTCTGTGCCTATTGCAACAATATAGCTATAGAAAAAGGACAGTTCTGTCAGTAATTAAAGCTCATTACCCAATCAGCAAGCTTGTTTTCTCCTGCTCCAGAGCGTAAGGCCCGAACCACTGGCTTCAAGTTACAAGAAAGGAGATTCTGACTAAACATCAGGAAGAACTTTCTGGCAGGAAGAGCGGTTCCACAACGGAATGGTCTCCCTCAGTAGACTGTGGACTCTCCTTCCTCGGAGGTTTTTAAGCACAGCTTGGATGGCCATCTGTCAGGGATGCTTTAGCTGTGATTCCTGAATTGCAGGCGGTTGGGCTAGACGACCCTCAGGATTCCTTCCAACTCTCTGAAAGCTGATAATCCCAGCTCAACCACCACATATTGGACATCACATCTAAACTGCACATAAAGGTAAAGGGACCCCTGACCATTAGGTCCAGTCGTGGCCGACTCTGGGGTTGCAGCGCTCATCTCGCTTTACTGGCCGAGGGAGCCGGCAGCGTGACTAAGCCGCTTCTGGTGAACCAGAGCAGCACACGGAAATGCCGTTTACCTTCCCGCCGGAGCGGTACCTATTGATCTACTTGCACTTTAACGTGTTTTCGAACTGCTAGGTTGGCAGGAGCAGGGACCAAGCAACGGGAGCTCACCCCGTCGTGGGGATTCGAACCGCCGACCTTCTGATCAGCAAGTCCTAAGGCTCTGTGGTTTAACCCACAGTGCCACATACAAGCAATTTTTAAGCCTTCCCCCATTTTAAGACTTGTTAATCGAGCCTGTGGATATTACAACGTACATCCTATGTAGAGCAACACCTAGAAGGGGTAGAGGCAGGTAGAACCAGTGACTGTCTGAATAAGAGTTAGAAATACGACAAGGCAAATTAAACACAGGCCACTAAAGCCACTAGTAGTGGCTCTGTTTCAGGGAATCAATTGCCACGAACGTTCGGCTTCTGAGCACATGGCTTCTTCTTCAAGGACTCAAGGGCAACATACCTCCCATCAGGAGCAAGCAGATAACTAGCACTAAGGGCCGTGACAGAGTCCCCAACATCCAGGACTGGCGAACAAGGCTGGATCTCACCAGGGTCGTTTTCTTTATTCTCCTCTGCTGAACAACATTCGCCCCAAATAACAACCTATTTCAAGTGCAAGTAGCAGAGTATCAGCCAATGAGACAGTGAGGACTACACACTTGGATCAGGTGGGAGTTTCCACCCCTGTAGTGCTTCTTCCCAATGCTGCGAGAAACTAACTGTTCTCCATGCATGGAAAATGTTTGGGGATGAATTTAGTACAGTGGTACCTCGCAAGACGAATGCCTCGCAAGACGGAAAACTCGCAAAACGAAAGGGTTTTTGGTTTTTTGAGTTGCTTCGCAAGACGATTTTCCCTATGGGCTTGCTTCGCAAGACGGAAACGTCTTGCAAGTTTGTTTCCTTTTTCTTAAAACCGTTAATACAGTTGTGACTTGACTTCGAGGAGCAACTCATAGCACGGGATGTGGTAGCCTTTTTTGAGGTTTTTGAAGACTTTGGTGATTTTTGAAGCTTTTCCAAAACTTTCCCGACACCGTGCTTCGCAAGACGAAAAAAACCGCAAGACGAAAAAACTCACGGAACAAATTAATTTCGTCTTGCGAGGCACCACTGTACGTGAAAATCCTGTTTTTCTCCCCACCTCTTCTCTTGACTGGGGTCCAGGTTTGCAAGCCCTCCAAAGAATACAGACCTACATATGCTATTGAAAAACTGTTAGCCACCCTGAGTTCAAGGGATACAAAAGGATATAAACCCATACAAATAATAAAACTAACCATAAAGGCAAATCTCTCTCTCTCTCTCTCTCTCTCTCTCTGTGTGTGTGTGTGTTTTACACACAGAACACGACTCTGTGCAGGAGAAGTGATTTCACTCTTCTTCCTGCTAGGCCTAAGCCCATCCTTGGAATTGTCCAATGACTTCAGAGATTGGCTACTGCAGTTTCAGAAGTGTTCAAAGGCGGAGCTTGTGCTGGTCAAATGTAAAACTGATCACTGTCTTAAAGTTGCAGCAGTCCAGTAAGCAATAATCATATGTTGACTTTTTTTGCCATACTGAAAAGTGAAGCGTGTGGGAGCTTCTGGAGGAATCTGAAGTTAGGAGAAAGAAGAAGGCACTCCCAACTTTGCTCACAGCAATTCTGAAATGTTTACAGGGGTGATTAAAAATAATAATCCAAGGCACTTTATGGAAATTAGTTTTACAGCAGAGGCTTAGGCTCTGGGAAAGCCACTGCTGGTTAGCAAACAGTGTACAAACACATAGTAAGTTCTACTGCTGTACAAAAAACATGGATTAACTGATAAGGATTATCTGGAAAACCTTATTTGCTGGGCTGCTCGCCACCAGCAAAGAAAGGATATTGCAAAAAAATAGAAAATAACCTGTATGGGGGCTTAAGAAAGGATAACAACGAAGGCGATGGAAGGTTTTTTTCCCCATGTGAAGGTGGGAATTTACAAAATAGCTTATTATAGCCAGTGGTACATAAATAAGGCAAGATCTAAAGCTCTTGTTCACTTTGTTAGCAGCAAGGCAAAAGCCACTCTAAGCCAGGACTGCAAAACAGAACCTAACAATACGTGAAGAGGCATAAGAAACAGAGTCGTTACCATAAAAAAAATACATTTTGCACATTAAAAATTTGATTATAGACAACCACCACTCACTTTTCATTCCCAACTACCATGAAATCAGAGTATGTAGAACTACAGTTGCTCACATTTATCTTCTGTTATCCTTGCATCTTTCATCCCTGATCTTCCTCTGTGCTCCCTCTCCACTGACAAACCTTAGACTATAAGCTCCTTATAACAAGGAACAGTGATTTTCTGTCACTTATACTGTGAAAGCTTTATATATACTGATGGCACTGTACTAAATTATCACAGAAGACCACCATATGCACAGATATGAAACTAAAATGATTACCAAGTTCTTAGGATCTGGGCGAGACTCTATGCATGGCTACACTTCTGTAGGAGCTTGGAAAACCCACAATATGTGCTATGGAGCACAGAATTCAGCTTCCAGAGAATTTCATCTCTTTTTCTCCCCCCCCCCCCATTTTATTCCCACAACAACCCTGTGACATGGGTTAGGTCAAGAGAGAATGACTGGCACAAGGTGAACAAGTGAGATTCAGTGCAGATTTCTTCCTAGGCTCAGTCCAACACTCTAACCACTACCGCACCTGTTCTCATAATAAATTATTTGAAATAAGGTAATTTAGGCTAATTTTTCAATTTGCAGAATCCACAGATAGCATAAATTTCTAATTACTTAGCACATAATTTGAAGTGCTTAGGTATACAACATTTTATTGATTGATTGATTGATTGATTGAAGTACACACTGCCTGAATTCTGGCTTCATCTTTTTCAAAATAAATGCCTTAAGCAGGTTCTTGCCCCATCATAGTACGCAGAATAAGAGACTTCCTACTGCATAAAACTATTACCTTTCTAAGCTAACATGCAAGATCTTGCTTCAGTCCTATACTTACTAACAATGAGCAAGTTAGAATTAACAGCAGCTGGGTAAATATTTTGTGCAAAATTCCTCCTCTGCTTTCTAATACACCAAACATCTTCCACCTGCATTGAATTAGGACTTTCAGTAAAAGATTATGCCTATATATAAAAAATAGGTACAGTGGTGCCCCGCAAGACGAATGCCTCGCAAGACGGAAAACCCGCTAGACGAAAGGGTTTTCCGTTTTTGAGTTGCTTCGCAGGACTAATTTCCCTATGGGCTTGCTTCGCAAGACGAAAATGTCTTGCAAGTCTTGAGATTTTTTTTCGCTTCCCCCCCCTTTATCTAACCTGCTAAGCCTTTAATAGCCTTTAATAGCCTTTTAGCAGCTAATCCGCTAAGCCTTTAAGCCTTTAATAGCCGCTAAACCGCTAATAGCGCTAATCCGTTAAGCCGCTAATAGGGTTGCTTCGCAAGACGAGAAAACCGCTAGACGAAGACTCTCGCGGAACGGATTAATTTCGTCTTGCGAGGCACCACTGTAGTCAAGTTCAATGCCAAACAAATTTACTGAAGGATGGATTTTTAAAGGCATATTAATTTTAATGACACATTCCGCATAAACATACAAGAACATGCTCCTTTGGTTCTTGCCCCAAATAGGAGTGAAGTATTGGTTTTCTTTAAACGTTTTTGTACTTTTTAAATGATTACACGGATGGAACACTGCCTTGGACACCCTTTTTAAGGAAGAGGGTGGGGTATAAATGCTTTTAATAAATAAATATTGATTTGTGTGAATTAGCTCTGTGAAGCTGGGTAAGGAGCAACTGATTACGCACTTACCTTTTTGTCTCTGCTTCCTGTAATGAAATACTTGCTATCGGGGGTCCAGTCGCAGGACCAAATGATGCGAGTGTGCACAGCCGTGCTTTGATTTGTGTAAGCAAAAAGGCTGAAAGCTGGGTCTGGAATGACAAATTATGAAACAGAAGAGCGTTGTGATTTATTTCTGCAGGCAGACATTGCCCCAGAAAATGGTGGGGTAAAAGTTTAAAAGGAGGGAACAGTAATCTATAGTACAGATGGCCAACTGATGGCTCACAAACTGCATCCAGACACACACCCCATTCCTACTTCCTGGTGTTCTGAACATTCAAGGCAGCCCTCTGCATAACTGCAGAAGCTTCTGGGGCAACTCAGTTTGCACTGAAAGATCATCTACTAAGATTGCTCAGTCAAGGAAATGAGACCTTCCCAAGCCAAGCTGCTTGGGCAACTACAGTGGCATCACTGCTAGCGAGTTTGCGGGTGGGGGCGTGTCTACCAGCATCCACCAGCTGAAAAACTGATCTACTGCATTCAAATAGCCTTCTTTAGGGAAGATTTGACTTCACCAAACACACACAATCTACAAACCAGTTAAAGAATTGGCAATCGTTTCCAAATCCCACAAGAACAGGAACAGGAATACTCATATTTGGATGGTTCAGTAGAACAGAATACATAACATCCACTTCTTCCAGCACATTTACAAGTTCTCTTTAACATTCAGTGTTAACTCTCCTGGAATGCCACTCCTTTACATACAGGATACAAAGATTCAGCAGTCAAATGTTACTGGACCATGTATTTACAGGAGAAATGTCCGACAACATTTTATCAAGAGAGTTGCTACTAAAAAAAGAAGACAGGTTGCTATAGCTTTTACAACTGCTCAGCTTCCTGAGCACAGCTCAGTCCATAATGGTCAGGAGCAGGGAAACTATTTTGCCATTTCATCAGAGTAGGGCATAAACTAACATACTGTACACTTGTCCAAAAGTTCCTTTTCCACAATAAACACCCACGGCCAACAGGAAGAAGCAAACAAGACAGCTTCCACCACCCTCATTTGGTTAATGGCTTGCCATGAATCAGCAGCTTGAAAGTTTCTGCGGCCCAAGTGTTCTCTCCCCTGGAAACCGTATGATGAAGGCCAGATTTGTAAATCAAACTATGAAGAATAAGTTTGCAAAAGGAGATGAAGTTTAAGAAGAAACCAAAATAGAGTCGCAAAATGGATATCTGTGTGTTCATTCGTAACACACCTTAAAAAGCTGAAATGTTAGTTTTCAACCAGTGACACCAACTGTTAGCTAGCTTACCTGGTTGCATTGAACTGATGTCATTACACTTCCAAAGTGACCACTGCCTGTCTCTTGAAACTGCTAACAAGAATTTATCGTTGGGGGAGAAGGAAATCTGTGTCACTGTCAGGTTGTGGAAAGGTAAGCTCTGTATCTGCTTCCACGTTGTGGTGCTCCACAAAATAATGGCTGCATGTTCTTTTTTAGAAGCCTGCGAAAGAGGGGGGGGAGGTGGTGGAGGAGAGAGAATAAATACTGAGAATGAACAAAAGCAGCTTTGAAAAACCATAAGGGCAGATAAACAATTTACAGAGACATTTGCCAGGTAAGATTGTGTTTAAGATGCTTGATGTCATTATTGCAGTGGTTTTATTGTTGCTCCAGTTGGTGTTATTTATCTACTCTTCTTTTGTATTACCGTTTAAATTGCTTTAATGTTTTTAAATGGTCTTATCATGTCGCACCCTGGGACTGCCTGCCAATGAAGGGTGGCCAAAAAGATTCCTAAATAAAGCCAGCTTGATGTAGTAGCAAAAAGCGCTGGGGGAAATAGTGAGTCTGAACCCATGTTTTTCGGATGAATAAATATTTACTTTGCAAACTGTCCTTCGGCAGGAATCTTTACTTCACTTGATTCTCTCTTTTTGCTTGCATTACGGAAATGCCAGAAATACTTATTTGGTTGATTAGGGCAATTCCTCATAACAAAGCAGGTGTTTCAGAAAAGCTTCCCTTAACGACTCTCAAAAAATGACCACCACCACAAGTGGCTGACTCCGCTACTATTACAATGCAAGAACTGATTGTATTTCTTACAGTCCTTGGCTTCCAGAAGCTCATGTTCGGCATATGTTGGCCCAGGACTCCCTTCTACAATAAAATGGCCAGGTCTGCCCCGTCCTTCGAAAAACCTATTTTGATTTTGCTGATTAATCAGCATGCCCCATGTACAACAAACAGCCTATATGAGGAATCATCCACTCATTTGCAGCTGTGGAGTCTCTCCACACATTAATTTTAATAATATGCATCTGATGTATTTAAGATACATGTCTTCATTTTTTTAAAAAAAGAGGAACAGTTCCACGCAATGAAGTCACTCTCCCAAAGCAGCTTTCGGTCAGCACCAGTTGCTGCCACAGGTTTGTGAGACTAGCTGGTGGGCCTCTGGTCTGATCCGGCAGGATTCTTTCATGTGACTCAGGCCACCCAGATCACTGTGATCGAAATTTCAGAGCCGCTTTTTTCTTCTTCTTACCTTACATGCCGAGGCGATCACAGTTTTTGCATTATTGCAGGCAACACAAAAAACTTCATAGCCGTGTCCATACCTAAAATGACAAAGACCCCAAGGTAGTAAAAAGGCAAACTGGTGGGCTACAGTTTGTTGCAGTATACACACACCCCACTGGCCTGCGAGCGCTCCAATTGGAGAACAGCCTTTACCAAAGGTGTCATGGGCTTTGAAGACACTCAAACTCAGGATGCAAGGGAGAAATGTGCTAAGAGGAAGGCACACTTGGCAAATCCACACCGTGATCAACTCCCGCCCAGAAGCCAATGTCTCCACTGTGGAAGGACGTGTGGATTCAGAATTGGCCTCCACAGTCACTTAGGGACTCATTGTTAAAACCGTGTTTATGGAAGACAATCTTACTTGGCTACGAGTGATCACCAAAGAAAAGAAGAAGACACACACCCCAGTTCCTATTCATTTCCATATAACTTGGCTATTACTGGTTTGGAGGTATCAAAGCTCTGCTGTCTTGCACCCAAACATTGAGCTAGATAAGATTCAATGCGATCTCAAAGCGAAGGCTCTCCTAAATGTGTGTGTGTTTGATTCAGAGTGTCCCAAAACATATTCTGGGCACACACACACACCTTGCAGCCTCTCCGTTCTTCCTCTCTCCTTCCTGTGCGGTTGCAAAGCCAAGTTGTGCCTTCATCATCCAGCTGGAAGGAAAAGCCCTTGCGAGAGGGTCGCCTTCCTTTTCTACATGTAAGGATGTCCAGATGATTAGGAAGCAAGGGTGGAGTGCTTTGCATGCTGACGACCGCGAGTTCAATCGGCAGCAACATCTCCTGCGACAGACTCCCTTCCTGACACCCTGGAGAGCTGCTGCCAAGCAGTGTAGACAATACTGAATTCGATGGACCAATTATTATTATTATTATTATTATTATTATTTATTATTTATACCCCGCCTATCTGGCTGGGTCCCCCCAGCCACTCTGGGCGGCTTCCAACAAAACACTAAAATATAATAACCTATTAAACATTAAAAGCTTCCCTAAACAGGGCTGCCTTCAGATGTCTTCTAAAAGTCTGGTAGTTATTTTTCTCTTTGACATCTGGTGGGAGGGTATTCCACAGGACGGGTGCCACTACCGAGAAGGCCCTCTGCCTGGTTCCCTGTAACTTAGCTTTTCGCAGCGAGGGAACCGCCAAAAGGCCCTCGGCGCTGGACCTCAGCGTCCGGGCAGAACGATGGAGGTGGAGACGCTCCTTCAGGTATACTGGACCGAGGCCGTTTAGGGTTTTAAAGGTCAGCACCAACACTGACCAACAACCTGACTTGGCAGAAAGCAGGTTCCTGGAGCTCCTATGCAGGAGATGCTGCTGCCAATTGATCTCTTATTTGGCCTTGGAAGGAGCACAAATGTGACGTTCAACTAAGAAGCCATATGGGTCAGAAAATGGTCGGCTGGAGAAGACGGAGGGGCGAGGGGCAGGTAAGCACCAAGCGGAGAACTGGCAGACTTGACTTAGCATCATAGAACAGTAGAGGGCCTTCTCAGTAGTGTTGCCTGCCCTGTGGAACACCCTCCCAGCAGAAGTCATGGCAATAAGCAACTATTTTACTTTTAAAAGACACCTGAAGGCAGCCCTGTTTAGGGAAGTTTTTAATGTTTAATGCTGCTTTGTGTTTTTAATATTCGGCTGGGAGCCGACCAGAGTCGCTGGGGAAACCCAGCCAGATGGGCAGGGTATAAATAATAAATTATTATTATTATTCCCTAATCATTTCTTTATAAATCAGCTATTAGTGGCAGGTCACTTGAAGAGGCCTCAGCAACCACACGGGGTCTATGAAGATCCCACAGCAGAATGGTCTGCAAAACCTTGAGTTATCACCTTTATTCACCCTGTAGGAAGACCAGCCCAACAAATGTGAGGTAAAAAAGCAAACGCATTTTGCATGAAGCTAGACACTGCAAGTTTTAGTATGTTGCCTGATTATTCCTGTAATTATTTTAAAGTTCAACCGTACTATTATTGAACTATAAAATGTAATCTTTGCAATGGAACACTTCAGTAGACTCCTATGCACAATTATCTCCTTAAATATTTATCAAAGTTAAAAATTTATTCTGAAATCTAAAGCTGAGGTGACAGTATTTCACACAGAAATGCAACTGCCAAATGGTCTATTTTTAGCAAGCCGGTTCCTGTTTTTCTTGCTGCTATGGCAACATTAAACCTACATTTTCTATTATTTCACATTGCTTCTTTCAAGATTAATACTGCACAAATACAATTGGGAACCGACAATATTTTCTTTATCTCCTGTCAAAATACATTGCTTTCTACAAAAAAAAAAAAAAAAAAAGATGCTGTAGAACTCAGTCTTGGAAAAAGTCTTCCCTAGTAGGTTTGAGGAACTTCATCTTATTAATAGGAAATGCCACGGCCTAAATCATACTCTTCATTGGGCCGGTGATCCTTTTTGCATGCCTTTGAACATTTGAACCTAGACTGGGTTCTGATATAAAGCAAAGCCATGCATTGTTTAGCTAAATCAAAACTTGCTTTAATGTCTGTACCCAAACTGTGGTTTGTTTAGGGCCAATAAACCACAGTTTGAAGCTGGTTTGTAAAACGTAACATTTGGAAACAGCTGCTTGCTGTTTCGTAGGACCTCACAAGCCACGGTCTGGGCAATTGATCCACCTCAAAGATCTGCTATACTATGGCAATAGTTCTGAACTTATAAAAAGAGCAGATGGGAAACGAAAGTAGGCAAGCAGATCTTGGATCACAGTTTGTTGTTGTACTATGGTATGAATTCTTAATCATGGTTAGCACAGACTAGCATTTTAACTTCGCACCAGATGGGGAGAACCAGTTCCAGCTTGGTAGGCCTGATCCTTTCATTTCCCCATGCCATGGGCCAACTTTGACAGGTGGGAGGGACCGCTACATGACATCCACCCAACTTCATAAAAGGGCCACAATACCTCAAGGACCGCTTCTTTCCATATGAACCTACCCAGACCCTGAAATCATCTTCTGAGGCCCTCCTTCATGTGTCTCCTCCTCGAGAGGTTCGGAGAGTGGCAACACGAGAACGGGCCTTCTCTGCAGTGGCTCCCTGTCTGTGGAATGCTCTCCCCAGGAAAGTTCGCCTGGTGCCTTCAATATACACCTTTAGGTGCCAGACAAAAATGTTCCTTTTTAACCAGGCCTTTGGTTGATCCAATTTACATCCTATGCCCTTTTTTAAAAAACTGAGTGGGGGGGTTGGGTTGTTGTTTATATTTTTATTAGGTATTTCGTGGTTTTATATATTGATTTTATTCTGTGAACTGCCCTGAGACCCCTGGGTATAGGGTGGTATATAAATTCAATAATTCAACAACAACAACAGGTGATTGCCAAAGGGGCTTGCTGTAACCTCCAATCAGCTAATCGGAAGTTACAGTGACCTTGAAGGCACTTCCAGCACCTATTGAGAGGTTCCATGGAGTTCCCTCTCTAAGTTCATTTGTAGGAAACATTTGGATACAAACCATTTCCTGCAAACAGAGCATTTGCTTTTCTTACAGGGAACTCCACTTGCCAAAACAACAACAACAACAACAACAATTGGGAGCTCACTTAATAGCTACAGCCATACTTGAGCTATACCTGCCATCCCATATGTGCTCAGGTGTGAAAGTTTGTGGGGAACAGCCTCATGGGCCAGATGATCCCTACCATTTTTTGTTATATATTTTTTCTAAATTAATGTAACTTAATTATATATAAATTATGTTATTTGTGTGATGGAGAGGAGAAGCACACACACACACACACACACACACACACGTCCCTCCACAAACACGAGTCAAGTTTGATGATGAGGTATATAAGAATTGTCCAAGGCAAAGCAGCAAGTCCAGAAACAAGCCAGAATTTGAAAATTTGGGTCTAAAGTTCAATGCATTAATCTGTAGATCAGGCTGCCTCCACACTCATAATTATTATAATAACATTTTTCTATTTACACATCAGACAAATGGATCGTGAGACATAATCAGCAATTTTCTCAGTACTGAAGATGTTTCATATCTCTAATCAGATGCAAAGTTACATGAATCAAACATTAGATGAAATAAGACTCCAGATATTTGTTATATTGTATTTAATTGATTTTATGGTTGTTTTTAAGTGTAACTCACACTGGGATCACTGCTCTTAAATGGGGCAGACTTATAAACGGACTAGACACACACACACACACACACACACACACACACACACGGATGGTATCTGCATCTTGATCCAACAAAACATCTGTTTGGTGTGCTCTTTGCTAAAGTACAGCCTTGGTTAGAGAAATAATTCTCTTTCCTTTAAGAAAAACCTATGGTGAGCAGACGACTTCACTGGGGATTCACCAGTGCTGCTACCTGTTCCTCTTGCCATTCTCTCAATAATGAGCTTGCAGCCGAATGTAACAATTGTCCTCTCAGAGCACCTTTAGCCAGCTAGCAAAGAGTCTCTCTCCTGAGTTTATGAGAGTTCACCTACTAAGATTACTACAGATTTAAAAGAACTTCCCTTAAAAAAAAAATCCTGCTGCTCCCTTTCCTCCAAATACAATGACAGCACTTATGTGCCTTTAAAAGTTATTTATTTACTAAGTGTTTTCGGTTACTTGGTTATTGGTTACCTATTATACTGACCTTCAACAAAAGAATTTGCAGGCAAGGGTGAGGTGCAGTAACAACCACCCTAGTTAGGCTTAGAGAGAGAAAGGAAATTGGTTCTTACTGTGAATTTCTATTTACTGATTGTGTTGCGAGGACAGTCTCTAGATAGGATGACGTCCTCAGGATCTTGAGCAGAGCGACACATCCCATCTACACCCACAACCAAAAATAAATAACTCTCTCTCATTACAAACGGAAAAGAAGTAGTGAACACTGAGTTCATAAAATAGAGGAACTGTCAAAATGTAGTTCCCCATGCCAATCTGCCCACCCCAGGGAGAAACAAGAGTGAATGAGGACCCTCCAAATCCCAGCCAACTGTCCCAGAAAATGGTGGGGAGTTAAACAGGGTGGACAACAGAGTGGATAACACAAGAGGAATTGTTTTTATTCCTCTTTTTAACTGTAGAGCAGTTAAAAGTACCGCACTGGAAGCCTTTTCTCCTAAGGAACAAAAGACTGAACCTAATCCATCATGGGGATGTGGGTGGCGCTGTGGTCTAAACCACAGAGCCTAGGGCTTGCTGATCAGAAGGTTGGCAGTTCGAATCCCCGCGACAAGGTGAGCTCCCGTTGTTCGATTCCTGCTCCTGCCCACCTAGCAGTTCGAAAGCACATCAAAGTGCAAGAAGATAAATAGGTACCGCTCCAGTGGGAAGGTAAACGGCGTTTCTGTGCGCTGCTCTGGTTTCGCCAGAAGCGGCTTAGTCATGCTGACCACATGACCCGGAAAAACTGTCTGCAGACAAATGTCGGCTCCCTCGGCCAGTAAAGCGAGATGAGTGCCGCAACCCCAGAGTCGTCCGCGACTGGACTTAACGGTCAGGGGTACCTTTACCTTTACCCCATCAGGAGGCAGGGAAGATTTGGAGGGTAGGACTACTACTCCTCCCCAGAAGAGGCGAAGCTTTCAAGACCCTGTGCTTCACGTCCAGAGGGAAAATGCCATCCTCCAACATAACCGGGTTTTTGGCTTGGCCCAACATCTTCCACTGAAGGCCATATGGTTGAGTGAATGACTGACACCTCTTCACACCGTTCTAAGAAGCAGACTGAGCTACTACCTTCCCTCCACCAAAAACATGCAACAAGCTTCTTCCCCCTGCCGCTGCCCCTAACACTGAGCCAGAGGGAGAGTTTTATAAAACTCTAAAACCCATCCATGTAAAGCTGGTCATACTGCTGATTTCAAATTGCTTTGTTTTTGCTGTTCGCTTGTGGCTACAAAAACTACATCCGGCAGCTGGCAATACATGGCCTACGGGCTGCATTCTGCTTAGTGGGTCACAAGGCGTGCAGGCCTGTGGACAGGGCTCTGGCAAATGGTCTTGGCAAACCATGCAAGGATTTCCCTCCCGGCCCTGAGAATATTTCCAGGATTCCCTGCTCAGATTCAGCAGAAAGCCAAATTGCTTGGAATCATGGTACCTCTGCCACCTCCAGCCTGCCAAGAATGAGAGACTGTGAAAAACTGGCACACTTTGCAAAGAGAGCTGCCACAATTTAAAGCGCCTTTAAGGCAACTGCAGCGAGAAAAGAAAAACAGAGGGGAAAACAGCCTCCCTGGGAATTGTTCCAGGACAGCAGACCTCGCTGAATCTAAAGGCAAAAATCTATCTCCTGACCTCTGCTCAAATGCACACATATTTGATGCAACTCAGCAACTCCTTCACTGAACACAGAGTTGCCTCTGGGTTGCCCTCTAGCTCCTAAAAGCACTTGTTTAAGGAGAGCAGCCACTCATTCGTCTATTGTTTGTTTCTCTGTTTCAGGAGGGAGCTATACTCAGGATCAGTAAAGCTACTGCTCCATGTTTACCAAGTGATATAGTATAGCAGCTAAAATGCCATTAGTAAGCCAGAAGGTCACAGGTTCAAGTCTTATCTCAGCCACTAACTCTTATTAGTTAGGAACCTACACCCTTCAGGAAGCCACTCTCTCTCAGTCTCCGTTCCCATTGCCCAGATTATATTAATAACAGAAGCATAATAAAAAAAATCACTACTACTACTACTAGGGACGTGGGTGGCGCTGTGGGTTAAACCACAGAGCCTAGGACTTGCCGATCAGAAGGTCGGCGGTTCGAATCCCTGCAACGGCGTGAGCTCCCATTGCTCGGTCCCTGCTCCTGCCAACCTAGCAGTTCGAAAGAACGTCAAACTTCAAGTAGATAAATAGGTACCACTCTGGTTGGAAGCTAAACGGCGTTTCCGTGCGCTGCTCTGGTTCACCAAAAGCGGCTTAGTCATGCTAGCCACAAGACTCGGAAGCTGTACGCTGGCTCCCTCGGCCAGTAAAGAGAGATGAGCGACGCAACCCCAGAGTTGGCCACGACTGGACCTAATGGTCAGGGGTCCCTTTACCTTATCTTTACTACTACTACTACTACTACTACTACTACTACTACTAAATAACAACAACAGCTGCTTATGGGGTTTTGAAAAGGTTGCAAAGAATTCAACAAAAACTTGCCAAAGCCTAGGCCAGTAGGTCTTCCAGAAGCATCATCCGGCCTTTTTTAAATTCAAATTGACTGTCAAGCAGCTAATTGATAGGGCAGAGTAATTCGCATACTGTAACTTGCCCCAAGCCTTTTGGATGGGATAGGACATAAAATCAAATACATACATAACATATACATTAGATGCTAAACGTTCTTACTAAGTATCTTCAAACCTGGCTAAAGACCCAGGTTCAATCCCCACCCATTCAAGGCTGTTGTGGGAATAAGATGAAAGATGATTTTGCATGCTATTCTGAGCTACCTCAATAAAGAATAGGATTGTGGTTTTTAATAAATGCCATTCATTCATTTGGCCCACATTTAGCCCAGAACAACTCCAAGTTTAATGAGGAAATGAGGACAACTCATGGGAAGTTGACTTTAAACAAATGAGTTAAAACCTTTTCCCATATTTTTTCAGTTTATTTCTCATCTGATAAACAAAGCAACTTACAACTTTTGTGTTTCAGGCCATAACGTGTTCTGCAAGAGATGATCTTCTGTGGGAGGTTCTGGAAGATATTAATTGGTTTAGAACCAAGAGGTTTTTTTCCTCATACTGCCCCCCTTCCCTTTCATCTGCTCCCTTAATTTACATAACAAAATTCCCAAACACAGCATTTTAACATGTTGCATACCTGTAAGACTACATGGCTGAAAGTAATTTTCATGATACTGACTGGAAGCGTTACTAAGTTTTTCTTCTTCTTCAGTTGTCTGGGCTGCAGTATCTTCAGCTGTAAAAGAGGCATATTTTAGAGTCCGAAAGTAGCATGCCAATCAAAGAATGGTTAACAAAATACTGAACAGAAAAGAACAATTCTGTTTTCAGCTTAAATTATGTAAAAGAATATTTGGTCCATAATCCAATTATGTTAGAAAGTTTAGCAAATTTTACAATGCAAGGTAAACTATTTGGGCCTCATGACATAACTCCAGGCAGGACCTAGAGAAAGCTGAAAGAAGCTGGTATGGCGTTCTCCTGAGCTCACCCCATAACTCATCTTCTTGGTCAGCTTTCTACAGACTTTACTGCCTTATACTTTTCCCAGCTGCAACTCAGCATTTGGCAAAGTAGGCCATCACCTACAGAATTTAGTCTCCAGATGCCATCAAATTTTTGGTTTTGCTTTTGTTAGATACCCCTGCCAATTTGAGCTCCCTCAACCGACTTCTGTAGGAAATGAAGTTTGCAATTTCATAACAACTGCACTAAATTTATTAATCAAGAAGATTTGTTCGAAAAAAGGGAAAGCTTAAAATATACACTCTATCGAATAATTTTACCCAGCCATCAAGTATGGGTGTGAGCCATGAAGCGTGGCATTCGGAGACTTTAACCAGTGGCATCCGATTAAGTTTTCAGGGAAACGTATGTTACCAGATCTGAACAACATGGGAACATACAGCACCCAAGACTTCCAGGTACATCTCCTGCCATCTTGACACCAACAGCAGGGTGGGCTATGCACTGAAATAACGGCAGTAATTTAACTGCAGAAAATGAATTCTTGAAAGGACTTAGGGACAACAGCTCATGAATTCTGGTACAACACAGCAGACTATGCATAGGCTTTATCACAGTACAGTGGTACTTCGGGTTACATACGCTTCAGGTTACAGACTCCGCTAACCCAGAAATAGTACCTCGGGTTAAGAACTTTGCTTCAGGATGAGAACAGAAATCGTGCTCCAGTGGCACGGCAGCAGCAGGAGGCCCCATTAGCTAAAGTGGTGCTTCAGGTTAAGAACAGTTTCAGGTTAAGAATGGACCTCCGGAACGAATTAAGTTCTTATCCCGAGGTACCACTGTACTGGGTAACTGACAAATGTCCTAACAGAAAGAAGCGATATACTGGGATAAGGACTGCAATCTAAAAACCCTATCTAGCATGCTGGGGGGGGGGGGCGTTGTACAAGATGAAGCAGAGGGCTCCCTCTGCCCAGCCCAAAACAGCGCTGCCGGTCTTTGCCACAAAATCACAGCAGTGTCACACCTCCCCGTTCATCTTACCAAACATACAGCCAGGAGGACTTCCGCCAGAGGTAGCCCACTGAAAGCCCCCCAAACAGGGCATTCCAGGAGCAGGCAGAGGGGAGCCTAACCAGCCTAGGATCCAGAGCCAGCCCAACTACAGTTACTTGACTCCAGGCTAACATAGAGTGTAGCAGTGTTCTGTCTGCTCACCCCATACACCCCCCAGCTTCTACCCCCGCTGGCATGAGTGGTGGGATTGCAGAAGCAGCGGTGGCTATGTCACTCTGTCTTGGACCACTGCTGCCTGGACAAAGGTTAGGACTGCTCTTCCAGTGTCGTTTTTGTTGACAAAATAGCTTCAATCATAATATCTCTTTAGAGACAAGAGCCAGTTAATTCCTGGTTTTTTGAAGCTACCTTACACCCTATCAGAATATTTGTCCATCTAGCTCAATATTATCTTGTCCTCTGAGTGCCAGCAACTAGTCTCCAATGTCTTAAAACTCTTTCCCACCGGCTACTATCTGATCCCAGAAAGGAAATGTTTCCAAATTCCTCCAAACGGCTAGGCTAGAATTAGCAACTTCCCAGAATTCAAACCAAGGCTAAATAAGGACCAGCCACCTAGTGCCTCCCCTCTCATCAATCTAAACAACACAAATCTTATTAAAAACAACACACACACAAACATTTTATTAGTCACATACGAGTATATATGTATATATGTGTGTATATACACACACACACAGGTGTAGCTAGAGAATGATTTGCAAATCACACAAACAACACACAACTCTTACCTTGAAAGACAGCCTTATTGGACAGCCCCAAGGCTGGCACAGTAGCTCCTTCTGGAAGATCAATCATTTGCTAAAGAGAAAAAAGAAAAAGTTATGTAGAAGTTAGCTGCGTATTTGCTTTCCTTGGGTGGGTGGGGGGAGTTACTCATATAAGCTTTGAAATTTCTTGATGGTCCTTCTTTAGTGTACTTTCAGCCTGACCTTTCATGATGTAAAAACTCAAGCTTGGTAATACATAATGCCCAATATATTCCAATTACTAGGAAAATACCAATCCGAAACTGTTAAAACTTAAAACTACATGCTTCAACTTTATAGGTAAGGTGAAAGTACCAACACAATTTTGGCTCCCCTGTGAGCCAACTACCGTAGTTCCAGGCCTTGTGTCTTTTAGTCTGCATTTCTCAAAGACTCAAAGGAGGAACCGTAGCTCGGCTCTAAACAATTCGCATAGTGAAGATCTCCAGTAAGAGCTCACACACTTTAAAAGAAAGTAAAAACACACTTACTCCACTATTTAGTTCCTCCAGAGATATACCAGAAATGCTGCTGAAGTTTTCCATAAAATTCCTGGGTGCAGTAAATACTCGAAGCACCTTCTCATCTGCTCCAGACACAAACTGAAATCGGCCGGTCATTGCTAAACACTGCATGTCATATCCATGGACCTGGGGTCTTGCTATTTCATGCCATGATGCCTAGTAAAGGGACCACTGACATGTAAGTATGTGCCGGTATTGTCAGCTATAGGAAAGAAGCACTGAAGAATTGAGAACATTTAGCCTCAGTCCATTCTAAGTAGTCAATTTTGCTCAAAATGGACATTCAGCCCATTCCCCAGAAACAGCATCCTTGCCCTCGACTTAATCCTCGCTGGAAATGCTAGGGATCTCTTCACACTTATGCGCAATGGAGAAAAGATTGCTGTAATTTTTATCAAGGCTGCAGGAAAGCATCTCTGCCGAAAGTTGAACAGGTATCCCCAAGTCAAGTCTAACTCCCTCCACTTACTGGTTCTAAAATTTCTCTTTAATATATTTTATTCCTCTAAAGGAAACAGAATACAGTGGTGCCTCGCAAGACGAAATTAATTCGTCTTGCGAAGCAACTCAAAAAACCAAAAACCCTTTCGTTTTGAGAGTTTTCCGTCTTGCGAGGCATTCGTCTTGCGAGGTACCACTGTAGAGCAAGGGGATGCTGCATAAACAATGACACAATTAGCAGGAAGTCTGCAAAAAGCAAGATATAATTTTTGAATTGCTCCTTTTAGTGCAAGAACTGGACATTTTTAGACATCCGCAATATTGTAATATCATAGTAGCAAACTACAGATCAGTGTACAGCGCAAATGGTTTTTGAGAAATTAGAGACGAGCCATTGTTCAAGTTTCACATTTTGTGACCTATTGACTTACAGATGATTTCGCAAGCTTGTAGAAAAGATAAAATAAATAAATACCTCTGTTTCGTTCTCCCTTTTCCACGGAGCAAAGATTCTTGTAGTTTGGTCAGAACCAACAGAGATGATGAATTCTCCTTCTGGATCCCACATCACATCTTGCACGGCATCGAAATGCCCTGAAATAACCACTTCCGGAGTCCATTCTCTCTATTAAATCAAGACCACTAATATTATTTAACATGTGAACAAGCTATCTGTTAAATATAGAGATCTCACTATAAATGAAGCACACAGCTAAAAAGAAAAGCATTAGAACTCGGGGGGGGGGGGGAGATGTCAGCAGATCTGCTAACAGCAGCTGATAGTCCAATGAAGGACAAGAGTAAAGTATTACAAGGTTTCCTTGTAAGGCCAATAATTTCCTTGGAGGCCAATAATGGACAGAGCCAAATGTCTAACTAACTAATCCAGAAGAAAAACTGTCCTGCCTCAATTTTCACAATGACCATCTCAAATTAAGAATTCCCACTGTTAGGTCTACTCAAAAGCAAACCCCACTAGGTTACATGGGGTGACTCTAAAATGAGTATACAAAGGATTGTTATATTTACAATAGACCAATATAGCTACTGTTCTGAGAAAGCAAGAAAAGGGCATTCCTTTTGAACTTTAGCATGCTATTCACAAACACATAACAGAAGTCTGAGCTGTAAAAACAGTGGCAGGGAGTGGGGAATAATAACACACACACACACACACACACACACACACACACACATCTCATCAATTTATTTTTATCCAATAAAATATTGCCCCTTCCAGTTGTTCTGATGCTACATAAGGGGGGAAAGGGGGGGCTTTTAAAAGCCAGGAAAAATAAGGAGGAAACAAACAGGAACCAAGGAACTTTGATGGGATTCAAGCCACATAAAATGAGGTCATGGTCATATGTATACCTTGCTGGTTACAATGAAGGGCATCTTTGGCCGTGTTTTTATACATTTAAAAATGCTACGTATATTGAAGGCAACGTGATCCTCTCTTTCAATAGCATTTTACCTGCCCCCCCATACCTACTAAGAGCTAGCCTGGAAATGGCATGTGCACTTCGCAAGCAGAAGGTCTCAGGTTCAGTCCTGTCATCTACAGTTAAAAAGCTGGGAAAGGTTTGTCCTGTCTCACAGATCTTGGAAAGATATTGCTGTGGGGTGGGGTAGACTAGAGTGGGCCAGATGGACTGACACACACACACACACACACACACTCTCTCTCTCTCTCTCTCTCTCTCTCTCTCTCTCTCTCTCTCTCTCTCTCTCTCTCACACACACACACACACACACATACATACATATATATATATATATATATATGAGATGTTTACTACCCACAGAGCCCAAAAGGCACACCCCAGTGATCCCATCAGATTTAACCTTGTTTGCTACTAATTGTGGTAGGAAAAAAAGAAAATTAAGAAGATCAATGCTTCAGCTTAAATGAGGTGTTCAGAATAGATATCCAATCTAGTGTATCTTTTGAGCACAAAGCCACGGCTTACTACACAACAACAGTCCGTGAACATTTTCCTCTCTAGCAACATAAATAAATTCTCTTGCCTTGTTTGCTGAAGTCTGTTTCCAAAGATGCAGCGCTCCGTGGAAAGCATGAGCAAGAATCATTGAGCCATCTGGGCTGAAGTGACAGTCAAAAAACCCCAGAGTATTTCCACCCACTTCTCCTACTCGGACCTTTTTTGAAAAATTGAACACAAAATACATGAGCCAGCCACCAGTCAATCTGCTCATTGATGGCTAAAGACTTAATCCTAAACAAAATAACAAAATTTCATCTACAGTTTAGAATTACACCCAAAAGAGAAGCTAAAAGAACGCCGTTACAGCAGCATTAATGTGCTATTGATCTTACAAAATTAAGAAGCCATTAGTTCAGGGTCTAGGCACACACCTGTTATATGTACAAACAACACAGAAAAATAGATTCAACCCCTCCCCCCATATTTATCACCAATATATCCTAATTTTAAAAATGGTTTGATATGTTTATTTGCCAAGTTCACAGGCAGTCTGCAATAAAAATAAAACATTCCAAGGTGAAATGATGATTATTGGCTTAGCTAGCTTAAATTCTTTTTTTTAGACAAATTCATAAAAATCAGTATTTATTATCCGTAACAGCTAAATTGAACCTCCATGTACTGGTGCAGGGTACTAGATGCTGGGAACATCTGGTTGTGCCATCAGAGATGCCAAAGGTTTATTAAAAAGAAAAACACCAAGTTTCCAGCATAAGGCAAATATTTAAGTTTTAGTTCAAATCCATGTGTAGGCAGACAGGCTGGACGGGTTTGAAATGTGTGTGGCCTCTTTGCTGTAAGCACAATCTCCTCCTTTCCCTCATATGCACACAGAAGTCTTTACTGCTTTTAAGAATCAGTTTTTGTGGTTCTAAATACAGCAGAATGTTGCTTGTTTGCTCTTCCACTGAAGGAACAGCCTGCTACAATTACAATACTTTCCACTTGAATTCTTTTTAGGCTTGGATATGACCTCATACTCCCTTTACTTAATTTCTAAAGCCGCGGGGGGTGGGGGTGGGCAGGGAAAGCAAGAGAGGAAAACGTAGAAAACATGCCTACCTGTTCCAACCACACCCCAGATTCATCATCAGGAGCCCAGAGGATAACAGTTTTGTCCATTGAAGCAGACAACAATTTCATTGGCTGTTCCATCCTGCCATCTACAGTGCAAGGAGAAAATTTACCTTTGTGGAAGAGGCTAGCATGCTTTTTTGCGTCTCACATATTGCATTCGGGATAGCAAAGGTAAGATAATTCTACAAAGGCATGCTGCAGAACAAACTGTGTTGGGCTGAAGAGGAGAGAAATGTGTAGTTGCAATTTACAGTATTTCAAGAAGGGTGCACAGACAAGTGTCTTGTACATTGGATACTAGGTGCCGTAGTAATTGTCTACCGCCCCTGCTTTAAAAGGGAATGTTTGCAGATGGTTCTGGGTCCATACATTTCAAATTGCACAAATTCAGTTCCAATCACAAGAGAAAACATTACACCCAGAAGTGCCAAGTGTAGTCACTATTTGGAAATGGAGCACTTAGTGAATCATTGGTCGTTAACTGGCGACTCGTGACACATTAAGTGGTAAATCATAGGTTGAGATGAACCTTAAGGCAGGCTGCACTGGCAAAGCAATGGCGATTTTCCAAAAGAATCAGTATTTGTGATTCTAAATGTCACTGAATGTTGCTATTTTCAATAGAAGAAAAGGGAAAGAGAGAAAGACAAATCTGGATGCATATTTTAAAAGGCAAAGAAAAAAGGAGCCCCCTTGTCAGTGTTAGTGGCTCCTTGGTCTGAAAAGGCTGGTGGTCACTGTAATTATTGCAATGATTCAGCAACTGGCAATGTTAGGGCTGGAGCAACCCTAAGGACAGACAATGCAGAATAACCAAAATCCATACCCACACAGAATCAGGACTATAGGAAAAAGTTAATGAGCTACAGGTAGAATCAATATCATTTCCTGCAATTCCCAGCCTCTACTCCACATCACTAGCTGCCACACTGGAATGGGGAAATGCACAACACACAGGTAAGGTATGGGAGAAGTCATTATGGGTGTTCCATTACCCACAGCAATCCAATGTTCTTCGCTATGTCTAGCTGTCCCCCAATTTGCGGCTCACATACTTCTTACCTTTGGGAAAGGAAGGCTGCCAATGAACAGCATATACCCAGTTTTCATGTCCAGCTAACACAGAGTCCAGCGTAACAGCAAAAGATGCATCTGAACCTACCACAGAGCAAAAAAGATAATAAAAATCTTCAAAGCTTATATCTATAAAAGAACCAAGGAAATACCCCCACATTTCCGTTCCTGTCATTGATGTGAGTCTTGCATACAGCAGGGGAGGTTCTTCTCAAACCATACCTTATTTGTCTCTTTTAGCTGCTTTGCAATGGTTGCGGCTGTTTCAAACAGAATGTTACTTTGTGTGCATTTCGTGTGTGTGTGTGTGTTTAGAAGTATAGCAAACAAACTACAGTTTTGCATGGAAAAGCAAGGACAGTATGGAGTTATGCTATAGGGACACGGGTGGCGCTGTGGATTAAACCACAGAGCCTAGTACTTGCCGATCAGAAGGTCGGCGGTTCGAATCCCCGCAACGGGGTGAGCTCCCGTTGCTCGGTCCCTGCTCCTGCCCACCTAGCAGTTCGAAAGCACGTCAAAGTGCAAGTAGATAAATAGGTACCGCTCTGGCCAGAAGCGGCTTTGTCATGCTGGCCATATGACCCGGAAGCTGTACGCCAGCTCCCTCGGCCAATAAAGCAAGATGAGCGCCGCAACCCCTGAGTCATCTGCGACCGGACCTAATGGTCAGGGGTCCCTTTACCTTTATGGAGTTATGCTAGCCAATTGTCAAGAAGCACCCAGCCATAGTGTGGATAGGTGGCACAACAAATAGATGCCACAACAAAATGTGAAAGCCTAAGTACGACCTCACATGTCACTGAGCACCTTCAGAAGTTTGTTTGGGAAAGGCAGATAGGGTGGTACAGAATCGCATCTAAAAATCCTGGGTTCTGAATTCAGGTACGCCTCTCAAATATACACAAAACATAGCATCCTATTGATAATGGAGATATGTGCAAACAAACTCGTTTCCATTCACAAATATGTCTCACTAGACTGAGCTGATTCAATATATTTCTCTGTGCAATTTCTGTACTCTACTGCTGACTTGGCTATGCAGTAGGAAAGGTTAAATCCCTGCCCAGGAATAGGAACGGATGATGTAACAGGAGTGGGCTGAAGTTTATGAGGTTAGCTGAAACAAAGCACGCAGAAACGCCACATCTCTCTTGGCCCTTTTGCTAGTGTAGTCATACAGCATGAGTTCAGTGAATTGTTCTCAGGAAAGGAGAATCTGAAACTCAAGAATGGCAAACCAGGACTTATGTTCACATGTGGTGGAGGTGTAAATATGTGAAAGAAATTTGGCAAAGGGTGTTTAAGGAGATAACAGAAATCGATGGGTTAAAGCTGACCAAAGGTCCAGAGGTAGCATTATTATCAATTTACGAGGGGGTGGAAGGTTCGCAGGCTATGAAGGACTTGCTCACAGATTTATTGACAGCTGCACGACTTATTATAGCTAGGAAGTGGATGTATACAGAGTTTATTTAAAAGAACATTGCAAAAATATAAATCTGTTGGCAAGTCTAGATTGACTTTCTGCGTGTAATAGGAGAATCTTACAAAACTAATGCAATTGAAACAACCTAGAGGAGACAAAGTTTAGTGCGCAGATAAAGAATGTAATCTGTGAACCACAATGGGGGAACCAGAGGTCATGTTGAATCCAACTAAAATTGTTACATACAACAAGCACCAACTATGGAATGAATGTTTGTTTATTTTTGTTTTCTGTTGATTACTTATGTTACACAGTTTTTAAAACCAATGAAGTACATATTTTTAAAAAAAGGAAGTGGAAGGAGCAAGATGAATATAAAGAGGTGTGGGATATAGCTATTAATGATAAATTAACATGTGCTTTTAAGGTAAGATGGGGAATATGTATGAGAAATGATTTTGAGGAGATATTTGTAGAATTTGTGCTGTTAAAATGGAAAGGGGTCAAACTATCGCAAGAGGTGTTAAAATTTTGGGAGATTGGATATTGACAATGGAATGGTCTTGTGGGTGGGGTGCACATTTTTATTATTTATTTATTATTATTTTATCAAAATAAAACATAAAATAACAAGAATGGCAAACCTCAGGTTCTACACTTTCATTTAACTCTACTGACAACAATTGCATATTGCCTCAGAAAAAGCAACAGCTATTCATAAAGTACAGACTCACCATTGTCATTTTTCACGGTGAAAATGTTCTCCTTCAGCCTTATGGTTTCCTCATCTTGGGCTTCCACAAGCAATGAAGTTGCATGCATCTTCCAGATCCTTATCAGACAATCCTGGGAACAGCTTGCCAAGAAGAGATCTCCGTCTTTTGCAAAATTAAATAAATGAAAAGCAGGAAGATTTTAAAGATGGGAAGTTCATTGCCCAGGGAAATCAGTATTGCCATGAGCAAGTTGCTAACGAATACCAAAATAAATACCGTATTTTTCGCTCTATAGGACGCACTTTTTCCCTCCTAAAAAGCGAGGGGAAATGTGTGTGCGTCCTATGGAGCAAATGCAGGGGGGAGGCAGGCAGGAAAAGCCCCCAAGAGCCGCACACAAGCTTCGTGCGCTCTTGCGGGGTTTTCCCCAGGAGGGAGAAGGGGTGCAGGGGGGAAAGAGGGCAGGAAATAGATGCCGGGCAGGAAGACACAACCACACTTTGACCACTGGAAAGTCCACCTCAGCCTCCCCAGATTTCCACTGAGACGGCTAGGCTAATCTCGATGGCCATAGGTAAGGCTCAACATTATTAACTGGACTTAGATAAGCCATGGTTCCCCTTCCTACCCTCCTCTGAGGCTCGCTTTAAAGCAGCAAAGCGGACAGGAGCCTGCCCGCTTTGCTGCTTTAAATAGTTTAGTGCAACATTTGATTCAGATTTTGTGTGTGTGTGTTTTCCTCCTCTAAAAACTAGGTGCGCCCTATGGTCAGGTGCGCCCTATGGAGCGAAAAATATGGTACTTTGCTGTAGCGCATGTCAGCACCATTCAGTGTGGAAAGGGATGAACATCACACTGTCATATTAGCTACAATACTGTAGAAATGCCTCACATAATCTAAGGAAAGCTCTGTAGGTTGGAATACCTACCTGAATCTAGGTTGGAATAGTTTGGCAAAATCATCTGTTTGTGGAAAGATAGTGCTACGTGGTTTCTCAGGGCGGGGGGCGGGATTCAGTATCTTCTAAGATTCTCTATTTCTAACATGTGCTACACAGAGCAAAGCTGTAAGTTATGGACAAGGTTACATATATGCTGAGATTCCACAGGGGTGGAGGAATCATATGATTATATGCTGCCTTAGAGTTTTTAATTTGATTCAACACATGTAACTATTATTGATTATTTTCAGTTGTTATCCTTGAGAAACGTAGAAAATAACAGGATATATTTATCCGAAAGTCTTCAAACTTACACAACCCTTTAAAAATTAGGTAAGGAACCAAATGTTATATAATGCTGTTTTATAAATTATAATTTATGATAACTTAGAATTTAAATGTATTTTCATGTAATATTTGATACTTCCAGCTGATGAAGGTGAATACATCAAAACAGGGCCCTGTCCTGGTTTCTAATCCATAATTGACTTCTGATTTCTGCTCAATGATTGAAACTAAGACCTCCACGACGAATCTGGACTAACATGAACTTATCTCCGCTCATAAACTCCTATCTCTAATTCTGTAATGAATTATTGTGTTATACATATTTTTATGAGTTTGAGTTTGTAATCTCTGTTAGAGTTTGTAATCTCTATTTAAATTTGTAATCCTTGTCAGAATACATACTTTTGAATGGATTAGTTTTTGTTACTATTGACTATTGATTTGCGAGTAGGAACCACTCCCACTATTGAAACTTACATTGGCCTGAGCTCATGGTGTGCTCTTTTCTCGAGATTCCACAGGGGAGCAGAAAAACTGGAGAGTGTAGAAGTGGGCATAGAATCCAGTTTCCCTAGAACAGGGGTTGGCAAACTTTTCCACTGGCAGGCCGGATCGCCCACGCATGGGAGCATGCACACAAACCCGCCGCTCTTTCCCCGCTGGCTTTCGGAGCCATGGCGGGGTGGGGGGTGGGGGGGAGGCGTCTGTGGCTTCCAACTGGCTGCAGGAATAGGAAGCCGTGGCTGCATCCCAGAAGTCAGTGCTTACGCGGAGCAACCAGCGCAGAACGCCGGTTTAGCTTCTTACGGGGACTGACCGAGCGGGCGATTTAACGACCCCCTTAGGCCGTATCCAGCCCACGGGCCGTAATTTGCTGACCCCTGCCCTAGAACCTCAGTTATCATTTTTAAGATGCAAGTGTTGAGGCCTTGATCCTTCTAGGCCAAGCACCTGCACTGGAAGACACATTTGTCCCTCTTTGTTTCAACAAAGGCTGAACTCTAGGAAGCAGGCTACTCCAGACTGAAAGGACCATTCCCTTACTTCATTATCCAAAATGGAATACTTGCCTATTACATTATATAGTCGAATCCTCTGAAATTATCTTTCCCTATTAGCAACATCACCTTCAAAATGTGGAGAAGAAAATTCATGCCAGCGGAATTATAAAAATAAACATCTAAGTATAGTGTTAAAAATTACAGCACTCTCATTATCAAGTTCTGCCATCCTACTTGTTTCTGCACGCTGTCCCGCTGGGTCTCAAATACTATGCTTGAATATGAAAGGGGGATTAAAACCATCTCAGATGCTTGGCTTTTCCTAGTAATCTTGCTCTATATGGCACATTAGATTATTAAAAATGCCTTGCTGCATACCCTACATACCGCAAACTGCCCATTCAATCCCTCTTATCCAGTCTTCATGGCCATGAAGCAGCAAAGTCTTCTGAAACTGAAACAAACCAGTATCCTTATGTAGCACAAATATCTGTATTTTGATGCTCTGCATTACAGCCTGAGGGTTCTCCTGGATTCAGCTTTGTTGCTGTGAGTTCAAACAGCACAGGGTGCCTTTTGGCAGCCTCAGCTGGTTCACCGGCGAGGTCAGAGTCAGCCATGCCCTGGTAACCTCTCTCTCGAATGGATTACCGTAATGCATTATACATCGGGCTTAATTTGAAGATTATTCAGAAGCTTCAGCTGGTACAGAATGTAGCGGCCCAGATTCTGACAGGCAGAGCTTATTTGAGATAGCTCCAATGGCAGCCTCTCCAATCCAAATTTGATTCAAAGTGATCTGGAGACCTGAAGGAGTACCTTCTCAGATAGTTAGCTGAGGGTTTTCTCTCTGTTCCCTCTTCATTTAAGATGAAGCAGGAGACAAACACAATGAGGACCATTTTGAGCTTGTAGGATGCCTTTCCCCAGCAAGGTTGCGTTCTTTCAGGTGCCAGGCAAATCCGCAGGCTTTTAAAGCTTGCTGTCTTATACTCATTTACCTGAAAAATAAACTTTATTGAGAAGGGACGTGGGTGGCTCTGTGGTCTAAACCACTGAGCCTAGGGCTTGCCAATCAGAAGGTCGGCAGTTCGAAGCCCTGCGACGGGGTGAGCTCCCATTGTTCGGTCCCAGCTCTTGCCCACCTAGCAGTTTGAAAGCACGTCAAAGTGCAAATAGATAAATAGGTACTGCTCTGGCGGGTTGGTAAACGGCATTACCGTGCGCTGCTCTGGTTTCGCCAGAAGCAGCTTAGTCATGCTGGCCACATGAACCGGAAGCTGTCTGCGGACAAACATCGGCTCCCTCGGCCTATAGAGCGAGATGAGCGCCGCAACCCCAAAGTAGTTTGCCACTGGACCCAACGGTCAGGGGTACCTTTACCTTTAAACTTTATTGAACACATTGGAACTTACTTCTGAGTAAATGTGTATAGGGTTGCACTGTTTGGCATTTAAAAGTATATTGTTGAAGGCATTTTGATATTTTTAATTCTGTAAACCACACTGAAGCCAAATTCAATGAAGGGTGGTGTATAACTAATTGGAATAAATAGGCACATCGGTCACCATGAATTGGCAGGCATGCTGAACAATTCCACACACAGAACCTGTCTATGATGAATGCTAGCACAGATGTCAATTAACATCAAATGTGAACTGGAAGGAACACAACTAAACCCAAAACACATTATTTGTCTAAGCTCAAAATCCTCCGAATAGAATGGAATATAAACAAATTAAAAGTCATTTTGAAAATTCAATATAAAGGCACACCACAGCAATATTTGTAAACACTTCTCCCACGTATTCAACTTCATTTTTCCTGCCTTCATTTTCTCCCCATACAATCACAGTCACAACAAAACACCCCCCCAAATTTCATACTATTCATGGGATAGGAGACAGAAGTAATAGTTACCTGTCCATCCTGCTGCACATATAAATGAATTTTGCAGTCATCCCCACCGCAAGCCAGTACCGGTCCTGAAATGGCAAAGCAGTCAGTGGAAATTTGCGGTTTCATTATTATTTTTTTAAAGAGAAAAATAAAATGGACACAAGGGAGTATACCACATTTACTAAAGGATGAAGAGAGAGAGAGAAAGAGAAGGAAGGAGGGAGAGAAGGAGCCTAAGGCTGCAATCCTATGCCAAAGTACCAGGAAGCCAGCACACCTTGAATGCTCTGGGACTTACTTCTAAGGGTGTGTTACACAGTTCCAGGACTATAAAAAAACTCAATCTGTAGAATATCCAGTGCTGCAGTAATTATAATTTCACAAATTTCAAAAATAAGGAATTATGCTGCTTTCCACTCTGCTAAAAGTCAAATTACAAAATTTTCTGCCTTCCTGTACTATGCTCCTGCACTAATGTATCTATTTACACTAGGGCAAAGGATGGCTTTTTGGATCTCCATAAACAGCACCGTGAAACACATGCTGAGCCTGGGAGGAAGATAATATATCAGGATTGTCTATGCATCATTCCAGTGTTTTGGAAATCCAACTCCTATGAACAGAATCACTGTTTTATATGCATGCAACCCGCATAATCCCAGTACTAAAAGGTACTTTAACACAACAGGTGAATGGCAACTCCTAATTGATCCTGACACAACACCAATAACTTCCCAACATATTCACTTCCACTTTAGCAATTACCTGCTCATCTGCAAAGAGTTAATTTCATAGGTATTTTCTCAAAAAGGATAATGTATAGATATTGACTTCAAAATACAATAGAAGTTAGAAGCAGACATTCGCTACTAAAGACTTGGGTCAAAGGGAACTTTAAAACGCATCCTTCTGACAAGTCTGGTAATCCCAAAAGTCAATATTGATTTTGGCATCAGGCATGGTGGATACAATCACAAGCATCCAGCTGAGCTGAATTTATTTGAATGGACTGTCTCCCAGACCCTGCACCACAATCCATTTGCAGCAAACATGGGGATACTTGGTTGCAACCATAAAGGAGGTACCATTTTCCAATAAAACACATCATCTGGAGCAGATATCCCTTCTCTCCGTTCTGATACGGAAGGGGGGGGGGCATGTCTTCTTCTTCACCTTCTTCGCTACAATATATCCATTTATTTCCAATTGCCAATGTCAAAAGGGACTAAAATCTATAGAATTCATAGAAAATCAACTTGCCAATTTGCTCAATTTCTCTAGGACTCCATGACACCTCCCCTGCCCTCCATAATCCCTCAAGCAAGGTGTCAAGACCCTAATCCTGTCAAATCGCTCTGCCAAGCCCTTCCTCCGGGCGATGCCAGGTGACAGACTATGCATACATGGACCATTGTCTTCTCAGGATGTGCTTATCTGCGCATATCTCCAGCTCTGCATATTCCCCCCTCCCTCCTCCATATGTTAATCCGGTGTAACCCAACCTCTTCCTAATGTATTCGTGATGTAATCTGTGTAACCCAACCTCTTCTTAATGTATTCATGATGTAACTGGGATGTATTTTGCACTGTATTCTGGGACATGGAGGGAAATTTCAAAAGTTCATGTTACCCCTTTCTCGCTGTTCAATCTCGCCTTGAACCTGTTGCGCAATAAACTCGGATCTCCTGGAGCTTGCTCCTGTCTCCGGCTGAGCTCATTTTCTTCCGCAGGGACCCGCGGACTTAGTCCGACGAGCTGGGTGGCAGAGTAACCCCGCACCCAGATTTTACCGTAACAGTTCCATCCTTCCACCCAGCAATGACGAGGTAAGGGAGGGGTGTGCACAAACCTAAAACTCCTGCATCGCTGAGAAGCCATCATTTAAAGACACACCAAGCACTAAATTGTTTTGTTACCATACCACCATTAATGTGAATGGTGCTTTAGCAGAGTAATAACCAAAAAGGCAGGGGCCTGTCCCAACCTAACATTCAACACATGGGAGACAACAGAGAGAAGGAGGAAGGTGAAAACAAACGGAGGGAGAATATTCAGCGTTTAGGGATAGAATCACAGCTCAGATGACCGACTATGCAATTTTTGCTTGCATTTATTCTCAAAACACTGAATAGAAAACTGAAAGTGGCAAAGTAATATTCACTATCTCCTTTGATACATTTACCTATAAATGTGGTGCACACAAGAAAAAAAAAATTCCTCTAAACATATTGAGCAACATGGCAAAGAAAGCAGTACTGAAATCAAATTAGTGTCAAGTCACACTGGTGTGGGTGGGTGGGAAAATGGGCACTCACAGGAGCAGATATTAGGAGCCCAGTACTGCACTTTTGAAATATACTTTAAAACAAAATGTTTGAGTCAGTATTTGAAATTTGCTGCCATCCATCAACTACATCGACTAAAATGCTTAAGACACCAGTTAAGCATCCCTTTAAATGATTAAACAGTTTCACAGACACACTTACTGTTGCTGTCTGGCAAGAAGGACAAAGAAACATCCATAACAAATCCATTTCCAAATAGCAGTGTCTGAAGACATTTAACTGAGAGGGAGAGAGAGAGAGAGAGAGAATAGTTTTGCACACCAGCAGTCAACATGACAGACAGCCAATGTAGAACCAAAGAGATAAGCTGCTAATTACAGCTACAAAGAATTAAAACTCACCCAAGATTAACCTAAAGGATTATACATCATAAAAAAATGCAACAGAGAAACTGACTCAGGTATAGAAAAACTGATAAGGAGAGGTTACAGTAGATCAGAATGAAAGAACTCACACTGACCTTGGCACATTGAGAGGTGGTTCCTCATCTCAGAGGGACAAAATTCCTCTACTTCTCTTATTATAGGAAACAATTTTAAGGGCTCATGCATTGTGGCATGTAGCAAGGCAAGTGACGTAAAGGTTCGGCATAACACAACATAGCTATCGCCTTTGCCCTTTCTTTGTCAAGATGTATAGCTTGTGGGAATCCCTTGCAGATGACTACAGTGCCTGGAGACAGACAGTCAGGTCATGGACCCACAGCAGTGACTAGAGGAGGAATGACTGCTACGAGGAGCACAGAGGGAAGAAATGCCATGGTGTATCTGGAGCAGCACAACTGGACACCTTCGTCTGCCCCAGCTTCAACAAAACATGTCTCTCCCATATCTGTCTTTACAGCGACAGCAGGTACTGTAACTTTCCAATCGTTTGACTTCGCTCCCAAAGGCACACTCTTCCATTGTCACCCAGGACAGACGAATGTCGGTAACATCAGATATCAAAAGTATTTAAGGTCTGAGCCTTATTCAGGTGTTCAATATTGAATGTCCTGAATGCTTGAAGAGGCTCTCTAGAATATACAAGCTAGCCTCTTTCCTAGATGCTGAGGCACATACCAGCCATGACTCCTAACTTGACCTGCCTGAAGTGGGGCATTCATGTATGGAGGAACACACACACAAATAGGGCTCCAGGAGGGATTGGGGTGGTTTTTTTTGTTCAGGCTATGGGTCCAGGATTCCATTTCAATATCAGCTACCCAGATGCCTTGGAAGCTCACAGGTACAGCACGAAAGTAACTGCCATCCCCTATGGCTTATCCTCAATCTCTAGCACTTAAAGGTATATCGTTTCTATTAGCTATCATGGCTAATAATCATTAACAGACCTATCCCCCCAGGAATCGGTACAACATTAATTTGTCCTCCAAGTCGATGAAAGTATGACTATGATTTGTGTTTGTTCAGCATGCCTAATTATAATTGAGAACTTCTGTTCTAACATATCCTGAATACTTTCCTAACTTGGACTATCCACTGGATTGCCACCTTTCTGCTATTTTAAGTGTTTTTATATCACTCTTCAGTTACATTCCCAGCTACCTTTACAGAAAAGAAAACAGACACACCAAAAACTGTTTTAAAAAAACGTATTTTTGCTAGCTAGACAACTGGTGGCTATTCGAAACCAGTGAATTCCAGCTGGAAGAAATCTAGATTCTCCTAAAGATATGAATACATAGCACTAAACTTTGCTACATGAATGTGACTTTTTGAAACAATCTGTTTACAAATAGAGAAAGTTACCTCCTGTTCCTTGTTTGGACCAGATTCGCACAGTAGAGTCAGAAGCCGCAGAAGCTAAAAGTATATTTAACTCTCCTGTAGACTCATTCCTCATGTATACAGCATCCAAAGAGCAAACTGCTTCAGAGTGGCCTTCAAGACGAGTGTAGTTCACAAGCTAAACAGAACATTATAAGATTACACAAAGGAAGGACAAGAACCTTGAAATCCAAACCAAGCTGCCATGCAAAGTGTGCAGTTTTCACTGTCCAACTACAGAAGTGCTAAAAACTGTAACAGAAGTGAAATACAAAAGCTTTAGCTCAGAACATTGGTAAACAAATTACATTGCTGTCATTTTTGTCCAGGGCATTAGAAAATATGCACTTTATACAACATTCTATTTGTAATCTATGCTGTTCTGTGTTCTAATAAAAATTAGAACTCCGTTAAGTTCACAAAAAGCAACATCACTGGGTTTTCCCATCCATTTTCTAAATCTACTTTAAATGGCTTGGTATATGACAAAAATAGTAATAATTAAGGTTTAAACTAAGTTGAACACAACGGAAAAGCATTCAGGCAGAATAGAAAACAACTGAAGGGTAATATTGATTAAAATAATTTTATTCCAAATGCTATCAGAAGGGTCATTTAATTTCACCTCCTGTATAGCACAGGGCAAATCCAATTTGTTTTCTGTGAAGTCTTCCAGGTTCCATTTAGTTTAAGCATTTCTTTTTATAAGAGAGTCTAATCTCAATTTAAAAAACTATAAGCACTTGACTATACCAGTTCACTTAGCCTTCTGTTTCACCAGCTAATAACACTTTTACAGTTAAGTACATGAAGTGCTTTGCAATCATTGGGATTGTGGACATACCAGCCGTTTTTCCTGGAATATATCCTCAAAACAGCAGGCACAGCTTATACCTCATCCTAATAGTATTTCTGATTCTGATCTACTTCTGCTGTTCCAGGCAAGGTGGTACCTCATTAATGAGGTATTTATGTCCACTGCCAGCACATTGCCTCCTTCAGTCTGTAGATCGGCTCAAGATAGTGGAAAGAGAAAGACTTCAGGGTGCCATTTCATATTCAAGCTACAGTCACGAGAACATTCATAGTTGTGGAAGAGATTTGACCTCACTGCCTTCAGATTTGCAAGGAAGCATCCCAGCAATTTGTTTGCTCACAAAGAATTCCTGCATTTCAGCAAAGGAATTTACCTTGCCAGGTGGATCAAAAGTTGTCTACTACAAAGAAATAAGACTCATGTGGATACAGCCTTGATTATTCCTCCCCCCTCACTGTTACAGAGAACCAAGACTCAACGTCAGTGAGATGAGCACTTGCATCAGACAGGTGATCCATTGTGATATATGGCTGGATAGAAACTCTCTCAAGCCCTCTAGTAATATCACTGGTTTTTTATTCTATGTTGTCATGAAAAGCTATTTTTTCTTTCTTTCTTTATACAGGTAAATCATTCACAATGAAGCAACATTGTAATACTGTATGTCTTCTTTGCCATATCAGGTACTAGGTTCAGGAGAGAAGAAGGAATTATCTCATCATAAAGAAAAAGAACACCACAGGTGTTGGGTCAAAAAGTGTTGGGTCGAAACGTAGCATTGGTATATCATGATAGAAATCAGGAGTGGGGAACCTTTGGATCTCCAGATGTTGTTGAACTACAACTCCCATCATCCCTGACCACTGGCCACACTTACTAGGGCTGATGGGAGTTATAGTCCAGCAACATCTGATGTAAATTCTCAGCCTTAAATATTTCTGGGTGGCACTAACTGTCCAGTCTGTGGCAGGTGCAAAACTTGAAAAGACAGGGCAAATCGGATTGGTGAATTTGTGAAGTGTGTGTAATTAAATATGATACAGTAAACAGGACGGGAGCAAATCTTTTCTTACAAGATGATGTAAGACCTCAGTCTTGGCAGAAGTGGGCAGAGGATGAGGAAAGAAACACCAGCTGCAGCTCACTGCCTGACTTTCAACCCAGAAATCACTATTTAAAGAGCACTGCTGCTGAAGCCCTTTTGCTCAAAGATGCTCACTGGTGTTTTTCCGCAGTCAGTCAGGAGCACAGAGATGAGTGAGCCCAGCAAATCCTCCTCCGTAATCCTCCCTAGTAGCCCTATCAGCCTTAAAGCCTTTGTTTGGGCAAGAGGGAAAGCCAGACTCCAGCTTGTTTTGCCTGTAGTGTGGCAGAAGCAGAGGACAAGCACTGCAGAAACTTTTTAAGCAGCATGTGTGGCTCCTTTATGTCAAGCCATAATTTATTTTAAACTATGGTTTAATTGGCATGTGAACCAGGCCCCTGAGTTAAACAGAGCTGTGGCATTAAGGCCGAGTACTAGGCATGTATCACACCTAAATAACCACAATTTCTTCTCTGCTAGGGCAGTGTATTTCTGAGTTTCCTTGTTAAGCACAAAATGTGCCATTGACTGCAAAATTCAGCTTCCTCAGAATCTCTGGTATCATTTTAGTAAACACATGTTCGCAGGCCTTAATTTAAGTGTGTACTGTAGACAATGGATGACAAAACCTAAGAATCCAGAGAGATAACTAAATACGATTTTCAGTGGGATGGGCTTCCAGAATTGATATACCTTCCAGTCTTCCAAAAGACAGCATGCATGGAAAATGTAACATAATACAAGCACATTTGTTCAATTATGCATAATGCAAACAAGCCACAGAATTCTGTTTTGTTTACAGTGCAATCCAAAGCAAGTTTCTTTGGAAGCAAGTCCCACTGTCCTCAGTGGCACTTACTGCTTAGGAAGTGAATATAGTATTGAGGTCTTAGTATAGATTTCCCCCCTTTACACCAAGTACTACACAACACGTACAATGGCAGATCCTTGAACAGCTCTCTTTTGCTTTCATTGTGATGCTCTTAAATTTTGAATCCAGATTACTAGCAATGAATTTGTTGCAGTATAGAATTGCTTAGTACAATAGTTAGAGTGGAAAGAATGGAAAAATTCAGAAGTCGTTCTAGTTTTCATTTCTTAAGGGGGGAAATCATGCTTACAATTGTTTTATTCTCATATATCACAATCACTCTACATACCTTCTCATTTTGTGTTTCCCAAAGAATAAGTAGTTTGTCAGACCCTCCAGAAATTAATTCGGTTTCATAAGCTGTGAAGGGGGAGGAGGGGAGAGGGAGAGAAAGGTTGAACAAGGGAAAAGTTGTATAATTCTGATTCAGTATGACCTGTGGTTTGTTTCAGTGGCAATTCTTCCCAAAGGTCAAAATCTGCAAATAATTACTTTTTAAAAAAGCACACATATACACACACACTCTGGTGTCTGTAATAATAGTTTCAATTTTTCCCTAGGTCCCATCTTTCCAACAGAGGAGCAAGTAGAACACTTGCAACTCTACAGACTCTCCTTTATTTACCAGGAATTCACCTGAATTTGTGGTTATCATCAAGTGCCAGGTCTCATGTAATCGTAAATTCTCAATTTCCTACATTCACATTATACAGTGGTACCTCGGGTTAAGAACTTAATTTGTTCTGGAGGTCCGTTCTTAACCTGAAACTGTTATTAACCTGAGGTACCACTTTAGCAAATAGGGCCTCCCGCTGCCGCCACCACGCAATTTCTGTTCTCATCCTGAAGCAAAGTTCTTAACCCGAGCTACTACTTCCGGGTTAGCGGAGTCTGTAACCTGAAGCATCTGTAACCCGAGGTACCACTGTACATAACTTTTCATTTTCACAGTGATCCTCATGTTTTTAAGACTATAATCTTTAAATAACCTCTTTCATTTCAGGAGTGTTTAGCTCTACTCTTTAGCACTCTTTTAAGCTGCATTTTTGTTTTGCAAATGGCAATATGCACAATGGAACTAGAACTGTAAAATGTAAGAGAAGCCTCACTTTAGGCACCATTATACATTATACTTTGTGCCTTTCCTCCTCAACTTGAAAACTGGGTGCACAGGTTAAGCTGATGTTTTAACTTGAAATACAGAATTGTGTTCTGAACATGTTTCAAATTCTCTTGGGATATCTCTATGCTCAAGACAATCCCCCCCCCAAAAAAAACCAAAAGTGCTCACTTTGTTTGGTCACCTAGGACTACATGGTCTTAAGATATTAAAAATAACATAACATAACATAAAACACCACTGGCCATGCTAGCAGACAGCTGAACTCCTTGCCCTGTACTGTATACTGTATCTTGAAGAAGTACAGGGAGGAATAAATTTCAAATGTAGAATATGCCCACCAGAGGGCACTGCAACAGCAACAGTCATAACCCAGATAATTCTTCTGGCTACCTAACAGTGCAGAAAATGCAGTTCTATGGTCTGGATTCAAAGAAATATGTACCGTAACTATTTCTTTGTATCTAATAAAGTATCAGACTTGCACTTCTCAGACATCCTCCATGACATAAAACAAGTCACATTTGAAATGGAGTTTCAAAAACTGTGGTTCATAAGGCACAGGAGTCCATTGTTCAAAGGAGCAGCTGGAAGAGTCAAATATCCCACCTGGTGGGCCAAGCATGCTGATGCTCTTTGCACCCTGACTTGTGTAACCAAGCCAGTAGGGCACAACAGCTTTTCCTTTTATCCCCTTCATGCTTCCCATTGCTATGTATTATTTCACAAATAAATTAACTACATCCCCAAACATATTAATTACAATAACAACAATATAAAACATTTGATAGCCAAGTAAAAGTTGCATTATATATGTATGGTGTGTGTGGAAAAGAGGCAACTGCTGGCCCAGAAGTCCTGGGGGACTTCCCATGTAGCCTGACCATAGCCCCTGAGCACTATTAAATGGACATCCTCTCCCTTTTATTATGCACCTCAGCAACTTTCTAACAACCAACTCTTCTGTGTCTTGGAAAGCACAGGTTAGGTGCACAAAGTCTCCGTTGCTGTTCACACCGGGCTGGTTCGGGCGCAATGCCAAACCATGGTTTGGTGCTATTTGAAGAAAGACCCTTGAGCTTCCATGCTCCCCACTTATCTCTCTAGCACACAGCAATTCTCTGCCTTCCTTTCTTAAGCCCAAACCTGCCAACTATGGTTTTAACCACTGTGGTTTCTGAACATGGTTTTCATGGAAAGCACATACCATAGTTTGTCAATTCAGACAAAATGACCCAACTACTGGTTGCCTCAAATTGGAAAGGGAGTAAGAGAACTGTGGCATGCAAGGGCAAGTAGGAATACACAAATCCAAAGGTCTCTAAAGACTGATTTACACAGCATTAAGCCTCAGTTTGTCATTGTGAGGTCTCTCAGTTTAAGTGCAATACTCTCCACTCTAGAATTATAGTATCTACTGATTGCATTTCAAACCTGTTTCCAACTCCAACAACCCTATACTATACATCTAAAATGGATTGTAAGTTTTGAGGTAAAAATATATTATCAGTACTCTGTACCGATCCAGGTGCATATCCATGGCATATATTTTTTTAAAAAAACACTCAGTAGAAATAGGCTTCTTACTCCAGTTATACTTACATCCATCTTTTCTGCGAATCCACTGAACACAATTAACTCTTCCAGTGTGTCCATTCAGTGTGCCAACTACTTTTCTTCTCTGAAAAAAAAATACACAACCAAAACTGTCTTAAGTCATGAACGCTTGTGGTGGATTTGAACAGTATTCTGATAAGGAAAAGTTATTTATCCAGAGATGCTCTCAAAGAGACTATTGCAACATTCTTTCAGTAACAGCACTAAAAGGGCAAAATATTTCAGAAGTTTGTTAGAAAAATTTAACCATTCACTAACTGTAGTCAGAATACTCCCCAACTGGCTGACACTAGCAAAGCACAGAAACCATAGGCCATATTCACCAGTGGAAACCCATTATTTGTTAAATAGTTACACCTTTCTATTACAGGGTGGGGTTGATGACTTACACCTGAATCTGAATCCAGGTGAGGCGAGTATTTTGGTAATATGGAACCCTCAGGGAGGACAAAATTTGGAGTCCCCACACCTTAAATAGTTCTTATTTTCAGAATAATTCATTTTGGTACAGTTGCTTTTTATGGAACTTCTCGGCGGGTTGAATAAATATAAATTTATCATCATCATCATTATTATTTAGCACCCGTTTTCGGCTCAGGGCCCTGAGGCAGGGCAAAATTTGCCCCCCGCCCCACCCTCAGTATTTATTTCCACAACAATTCCGTTTGGCACAGCTACTTTTTATGGATTTTCTCAGTAGCTTTATTATATAGGCTTTATTTTAATTTTAATTTTTTGCGCCTCCAGGGTTTCAAACTTGGGCTGCCTCAGCTGCTGTCGGACTACAACTCCCGCCATCCCTGACCGCCGGCCCTAAAAGCTAAGCATGATGGGAGTTGTAGTCCAACTGCAGCCGGGCCTCCCGCGTTCGAGAACCACCACCCTAGCCGAGCAAGAGCGAGGGGAAAGCCCGCCGCCTCACCTGCGGGTCGTAGAGGACGACCGAGCGGCACGAGCCGAAAGCCACCAGGCCGCCTCTCCCCCAGGAAACCACTCCGGGACCGGCTCGGTTGGCGCAGCTGGCGACATGGCACACTTCGAAGGGCGCCGCCATCTTGTCGCAACCCCTCGCCTTCGCTACGGTAGGTGTTTTGCCTCAAAGCGGCCGCCGTAGGAAAGAAAGAACGGAGGAAGGCGGGGGAATTGCAGAATTAGTTGCTGGTTTAAAAAAATGTGCATATATTAGATTAGAATAATAAAACAAAACAAAAAGCTGGGTAGAGTCTCTAGAAGGTTCCTTTCCTTGCAGAGTTTTAAATGTTTGGGATGAGTGTCTGGGAAACTGCAAAAGAAACCAGCTTAAATATCTCTTTACTTATTTTTTTTTTGCTTTTTTTCTTTGTGTTGGTCTGGCAGAGTTGGAGTGATTTGGGGGAGGGACAGCAAGGGTGTGCAAACTAATATGAGCTGATGTTGCTGGTTTGAAAAAATATACATATATTAAGAAAATAATATGAAATAAAGCAGGGTAAGGTTACTAGAGGCTTCCTTTCCTTGCAGGGTTTTAAATATTTGAGATGAGTATCCCGAAAACAGCAAAAGAAACCAGTTTAAATATCTCATTTCTTTTTTGCTTTTTGGTCTGGCAGAGTTGGAATGATTGGGGGGGATAGACTGCATTTTTAAACCTCTCGTGAGAGGCAAAAAAAAAACCAACACAGGGAGATGATGATGTGATGAAAATGCTGCACCGGTTGAATTCCTGTCGTTTTTTGTTTTGCTACGCAGTCTTCTGGAAGGTGCAACGGATTTTTCTCCCCCGCTCAGAAGTTGGATGGCTAAGTTGTAAAGAAGGCTGGGCTGCTCTCTACACCTTTAATAATTGGCACCTGAAATTCCCTTTTCCTGCACAACATTTAAAGGTGCAAAAGCCTCACTTGAGGGTGCTCTGGTAATGCTTTGTTTGTGAGAAGACAGTCTTGCAGCACCTTTAAAGACTAAAAAAATATGTTACGGCATAAACTTTTGTGGTTATATTACAGATTTGAAAAGAACCTTTGTATGTTGCTCTGCTTTTCTGTTTTTTCAATGTTACACTGTTTTCTATGTACACAATATTTGCCTCGCATATTGAGGATCGCAATCGGAGCTGGTGATGGACAGCAACTGAAATCCAGTTTGGTATTTCCATTCCTCTTTCAGGTTGTTGATATTGTTTAGTCGTTTAGTCGTGTCCGACTCTTCGTGACCCCATGGACCAGAGCATGCCAGGCACTCCTGTCTTCCACTGCCTTCCGCAGTTTGGTCAGACTCATGTTGGTAGCTTCGAGAACACTGTCCAACCATCTCGTCCTCTGTTGTCCCCTTCTCCTTGTGCCCTCCATCTTTCCCAACATCCGGGTCTTTTCCAGGGAGTCTTCTCTTCTCATGAGGTGGCCAAAGTATTGGAGCCTCAGCTTCAGGATCTGTCCTTCCAGTGAGCACTCAGGGCTGATTTCCTTCAGAATGGATACGTTTGATCTTCTTGCAGTCCATGGGACTCTCAAGAGTCTCCTCCAGCACCATAATTCAAAAGCATCAATTCTTTGGCGATCAGCCTTCTTTATGGTCTAGCTCTCACTTCCATACATCACTTTGTGGGAGAGGTTAACTAAGGGTTAGGGCCTTCGCCTTATTGTCCTTATTGTCACTTTCCCCAGTTTCCTGTGCCTCCAGGCCCTCCCTCTTTGTGAATCCATAACTTCTGTGTGTGTGCAGGGAGCTAAGCAACAGCCATTGCTTGGCAACACCTTACATTTGTGCTGAAAGAGTTTGTTGGCTTGACAAGGAGGTGTACAAAGAAGTAACGCGCTTCGAGTAAATGACAAGCTCCCCATTTAAAAAGGAGTCCCAATCCCATTATAAAGTATTGTGCACATTATTTGTATCTGTTATCTGCCCAAATCAGATACCTTTCTAGAGGACGCTGTGCAAACAGAATCGCTGCTCTTTTCAACTGGCTGTTCTACTATGGCGTAGCCAGACACAGGATTTTCGTAGGTGAGCTTTTTCCTACTTTCTTTGCTTCGCTTGCTAATTTTAGTCAGGCTTTTGTTGCAGGAACAGAACCAGGGCTAATAAAACTGAAGTCAGAAGCCCTAAACCAGTCGAAGGCAATACAGAATACAGTGGTACCTCGGGTTACATATGCTTCAGGTTACGGACTCTGCTAACCCAGAAATATTACCTCAGGTAATATTTCTGCTTCAGGATGAGAACAGAAATCGGGCTCCGGCGGTGCAGCAGCAGCAGCAGGAGGCCCCATTAGCTAAAATGGTACTTCAGGTTAAGAATAGTTTCAGGTTAAGAACAGACCTCCAGAACGAAATAAGTACTTAACCTGAGGTACCACTGGAGACTGATGTTAAGAACACTGTACCCATGATGCCACATGTGTGATTTCTCTCTCCTGTACTTCCCCCCCATGTTGATAAAAACATCTTGCATAGTTTGTTCCCAGATGTATACGTTGCTAACATAGGCTAAAAAGTGGAAGATACTTAAAGTGCTTTGTTATATGTGAATACATGCAACATTTCTCCTCTTGTGTTTTAAGGAAAAGTTATATACCGTTTTTTTGTTTGACAGGCTTACATTTTGTCCTCTTTAGGGTATCACAGAACAGGAGGGCAACTTTTTTCTGGCATATCAACACTTTAACCTAGTTTCCTAGAGCCAGTGTAGTGTAGTGGTTAAGAGCGGTAGACTCGTAATCTGGTGAACTGGGTTCGCTTCCCTGCTCCTCCACATGCACCTGCTGGGTGACCTTGGGCCAGTCACACTTCTTTGAAGTCTCTCAGCCCCACTCACCTCACAGAGTGTTTGTTGTGCGGGAGGAAGGGAAAGGAGAATGTTAGCCGCTTTGAGACTCCTTAGCATAGTGATAAAGCGGGATATCAAATCCAAACTCTTCTTCTTCTTCCTGTAAAAAGAAAAAAAGAATCCAGGTATTTATTTATTTGAGGGCCAGGTAAAGTACTCTAACTTTCTCACAAATAAAAATGCAGCCCCAATTTTAAAAGTCCTATGACTTCTAAGAGATTCTTAGACTGTATCTGGCATGTGTGGAAGGGAGGAAAGTTCTGCCAATAATCTCCACAAATGCCTGTCAAAATAATAGATGGTCCTGTATACCTGAAGGAGCGTCTCCACCCCCATCGTTCAGCCTGGACACTGAGATCCAGCACCGAGGGCCTTCTGGCGGTTCCCTCATTGTGAGAAGTGAGGTTACAGGGAACCAGACAGAGGGCCTTCTTGGTAGTGGCGCCTGCCCTGTGGAATGCCCTCCCTTCAGATGTGAAGGAAATAAGCAGCTATCTACTCTTTAAAAGACATCTGAAGGCAGCCCTGTTTAGGGAAGTTTTTAATATTTAATGCTGTATTGTTTTTAACACTTGATTGGAAGCAGCCCAGAGTGGCTGGGGAAACTCAGTCAGATGGGCAGGGTATAAATACAGTGGTGCCTCGCAAGACGAAATTAATCCGTTCCACGAGAGTCTTCGTCTAGTGGTTTTTTCGTCTTGCGAAGCAACCCTATTAGCGGCTTAACGGATTAGCGCTATTAGCGGTTTAGCGGCTATTAAAGGCTTAAAGGCTTAGCGGATTAGCTGCTAAAAGGCTATTAAAGGCTATTAAAGGCTTAGCAGATTAGATAAAGGGGGGGGGAAGCGAAAAAAAAATCTCAAGACTCGCAAGACATTTTCGTCTTGCAAAGCAAGCCCATAGGGAAATTCGTCCTGCGAAGCAACTCAAAAACGGAAAACCCTTTCGTCTAGCGGGTTTTCCGTCTTGCGAGGCATTCGTCTTGCGGGGCACCACTGTAAATAAATAATAATAATAATAATTATTATTATTATTATTATCATCATCATCATCTCTAGGATTTGCAAAAAGAAATTGTATGATGATGATGTCACTGCCATTTCACTCTGGCACATGGGAAGAGTAGAGCCTGCCTTGCTAGAGTTCCTCTCCCCCGTACAGACAGGTGAAGGGAACATCAAGGGATCAGCTCGGTGATAAGTGTCCTGTACAGACACACCCTTTGGCTTCCTACAGCCAAGTGAGTATCATCAGTGAAAATAATACAGAACTAATGACAAGCATCTGCTAATTATGGCTGCCTGTAGTACATTAAAACATGTTCTCAAAATCTCATGCTGGCAGGGCACAGATTACCCTCCTGAAATAGAACATGTCAGCTCAGTCAACAAGTTTAGTTTATTGTTAGCTGCATCTGTAACCAAACACTTCTTTCTAAACAATTTCTTGTGTTGGCACTGTGATTTGAAGGATGTCTGCTGCTATTAATTGCAGGGCATTGCAAATCAAGCTTTGGATGCTGAATTTTTTGGCCCTGGTTGTGTCATTAGCCTTGTAACAGGCCAAACCTTGAGAAAGAAGTGATTGCTCGAGTTAGATGATAGTCCTCATATACACTGGATGAAATAAAGAGTTTTATGATGGCACAAATAATTTATAACAAGGAACGTCTTGTTCCCGAATGCCACAAATGCTTTATCTCCTGGGGTTTGTGTATCCCAGGCATCTTACTTTGTAATGCAAAGCAATCAATCAGATTACCAGTTCAAATGTGGTCATCTCAAACTGCTTGCTTCTCCCATATAAAGCTATAAGACAACATCATAATAAAAAATCTAAGAGTTGTCACTAGCAGGCCAATAAAATCTAATGTTAGAGATCAGGCCATGGTTGTAAAATAGGAAATAAAGCAACTTATTTGGAAGTTATTTTTGGTCATCTTTTTCTCTTCCCCCACCCCATAGAATAAAATTTAGGTAACCAGTTAATCAGGACAGAAAACTCCCTATTTTGTGCTTATTTTTCTGATATTGCAGTGTTGTTGTTCTGCATGTTACAGTTTCTGATTCTTTATTGTATCCACTGAATATGTGAACACTTATGCATAAAAATAACTTATGACAGCAGAAGAATGTTTAGTCTCTGTTTCCTTGACATGCTTAAAATCTTGCAGTTATTTTTATTGCATGCATTCAACTTTGCAAAGTATTGTATCCCAAGTTTTGCATATGCTCTGTGACAAAACATCATCAG